TTGCAAACTNTTNCGTAATAAGTTGCGATAAAAGTGTACGAAGAAGAAATTTTGAACCGCGCACTCGAAAACACGTCCGTCACTCGTGAGCGCTCGAAGAGAAGTGACGCTGCGCTGCGCAAGCTTCGCGCTGCGCAGTGATTTTTCTACTACACCTAGATATTTTCCACCGCACGCGCTTTTGCGCTTTTCGGTTTTTCTTCGCGTCGTGAAGTAAGGGAAAAGAATTTCTCGAGTGTCGAAAACAACAAAAGTATTCGTTGTCGGAAAAACATCTCGGTCGTTGACTGTAATTTACACGCAGTATATTTTCACGTTGCGTATTAAAATGAAGGAAATTTATCAAATTTTGTTGCTCTTGTTTTTTCCATAAGTAAGTCGTGAATAACAGTATTTGTCGCTAACAGTATATCTATTTCTCCTTCGGTCAATCGCGAGAATAAAACGTAAGAACTCGGAATCGAGATAAAGTTATATCTTTTCCTATAAACTCGAATAATCAATGTAATATATTTTTTCTTTGCTATCAAACAGAAGTTTTAATAAAATATTATTTGAAGAACTTATAGAATTTTACGAATTGCAACGTATAGAAGTCCCGTATACAATTTATACACAAAACACTGTTTTTTTTCGTCAAAAATATTTTACATCAATTATGCGAGTATAGGAAGAATAACTTTGTTGCAATTTCGAGTTCGTACGTTTTATTCTCGTGACTGATCGAAAGAGGATCATAACAGAATCATATTTTAGTAGCGAGAAATATTGCAATTCTCGAAAACTATTTAGAAAAAGAAAGAACGAAAATTTGATAAATTTCTTACATTTTAATATGCAATGTAAAACGTTTATATATGTATTATTATACATATTCAACGACTGACGTGTTTTTCCGACGAGGCAAAAGGTTTTGTTTTGACGCGCGTGATCGGGAAACTGTTTTTCTCTTTTTCTCCTACTGTGCCTACTCACAGTAGAGCTTTAGTTCTTTTCGAAGAATATAAGGAATTGAATTGAAACTTAGTAAAATACTTATTGTAAAATGGTAAGAGAAAAATGAGAAAGAACAGTGTTGAAGTGGCGTTTGCGGCACCGGAAAAGTTGATCCGGGTTATCTTAAAGCAGTATGAAGGTCAGTGTCGTATTTTCAAGTGCAAACCAACATTTCTGTCGTAAAACTTGAACTTTCAAACTATAACTTATTTAAAGATTTAATAATTTATCTCGTAGTTAATTCTCTTTATTAACTTGGTGTTTCAGATGCAAAGAAGAGGACTTGTTCATGCAAGGAAGAGGAGTTTGCAGTACGGGGCAGTTGGTTCAGGCAATGGGGTGCTGGCACGAAGGTATGTTGTTTTCGTAGTTATTTTTTATGCACAACTTATAACCGTCAGCTACATTTTCTTTTATAGAAAATTTCGGAAAGGTTTTTTCTTATCTATTAAAGCCACATATATTTAAAGAAATGTTAAAAAACGTATCTTACATTTAACAATAAAGGAGAAAATTTTCTTTTTGTTACAGAGTGGTGTGTAGCAGAAGGTGGCCAGCGCTCGGTAAGTACACTTCAGGGTAATGGTGATGATTCGAAATCAGTGCGAAACGCGTGTAGATCTTTTACGAGTTTTAAAACATTGAGTACGCAATTTGTATGTATTTTATACTAATATTTATGCAATTATATTTTACATTCACATTAAAATATTATAACTGTTTTTTAATATGATAAAAATTATGCTCGAATCTATATATAAACGAAAGAAAAAACAGATATACTGCATTGTGTCGGTTTGTTTGTAAAACTTAGTAGACATATATATTAGTAATATGATTTTAATATATATATTATTGGTTGTTTTTATAAATTAATTCGTTCTCGATGTTTTAATCTTCATCAAAGCGAAAGTTTTGTCCTATGTCGAACTCAACGTTTGAATTGCGCCACAATTTGCGAAGCTTTTTAGAATAAAATCGCGATTATTCCGCGGAAGATAGACTCACGGTGTTTATCATATTATATTATTTATTACCGCGTTTACTCTTTTCCGACTTTCATGGTTTATTATAACTACAATTATAAAGTCAAGTTAACAATTTATAAAGTTATGAGAAAGAAAGAAAAATATCTTAAAAGATTATTTGTTCCTTTTTTTATTAAAATCTGATTGTTAGTTTTACGAGATCGATTTTTATCGACGCGAGTGTTCACATTCGAGTTTTCTCATGTATTTGCAATTATTCAGTTCTTTTTCAATTCAAATTTGCGATATTCTGAAGTTACACGCGTATTGTAGAGTCACGAACGTTTTTATTATACGATTCGCAATAGTTATATTTATTATGCTTCGCTTGAACAAAAGGCGCACTAGCAATAAGTCTCGCAAGACTGCGGGAAGATCTTCGCAGTGATACACTGCGGAATCACATCGAGCTTTGCGTAATAATAATATTACGCAAATATTGGATCGCGCATCGAAATAAACCGAAACATTCGTCCCGTCATAAAAATAGTGTGTTTAAATTCGATTCCATATATGTATAATCTTTTTGATTATTATGCGAGTTTTGTGCCAAATTTTTACATGTCGCATTAGTTTAGAGAATTCGCGGTATTCATATAGTTTCATATGTTCGTAGCTTTATAATTTCAAAATTTATTTTCGGTTGTAACTTTTGGAGAATTCGAGCTTCGAAAAATTCGGTAGTTAAAGTGTGGACTTTACAAAAGAGTAGGGAGATAGACTGTAGAACAATTTGAATATCGCGTGTGTGAATATAATTTCGCGTCTTCCGCGTCGCGAGTGAAAATAAAAGTGCTACGCGACGTGGATTACGTGGGACAATCCAGGCGTTTATCCAGTGGACCATTCCCGAGGGCGATTGTTGCAGAAGAAGATACATCGATGGACGACGAAGGGACCGCAGAAATATGAGTCATATCAAAAATCACATTTTAAACAACTTGTTTCTTTTAGCTGTAACTTCTTCTTTTTATCTTTAATACACATTTCATACGTTTTAGTAGTAATTATTCAGAGTTAAATTTATATTTAGAAAAAAACTCTGTTCCACCTTTTTTCTACTTTTCTTTTTATTTTTATTAACACTAAATATCTATATAAAGAACTTTGTGAATAAAGATGTATATGTAACTATATTCAATACAGCCGAAAGGATCAAGTTTTTAACATTGCATGCGTAGTATCCGTATATTAATCGCACTGATTTCTAATGGCACAAATAAAGACAATTATACATCGTGGTGTGATTTTCTTTATTAGCTATTTTTATATATAAATTATGGTGTGGTGCATATATAAATCTTCATTCTTCTCAAACGTAATATTTTTTTATTCATGCTTGGTTTGCTCATTTATTAATTGTATATGTACACTGTTGAATTTTTCTGTTGTGTGATTTTTTTAAAATTTTACGTTTTATCTCTCCACTTTGTTAACTTTTTGTTTTACATTTCTTTAATATTTGTTGAAGGCTTTTGTAATTTTTCTTATATTTTCTCTCAACGTATCAGATATCAAACTTATTTGTTAAAATAAATCCTGTCGGGTTAAAAAATATAAAGTAATATAAACGTACAAATATATATTTATATTCGCGTATGTATAAAATCGCGAGAGTGACTCTGATGACGTGAAATTCATATCTGGTGTTTCTATCACTTGTTTTTTGTTTTTGTCTATAAGCGTTTGAATTACGCCGCCGCGTGTGGCTCGATGACTTCGAGAATCGCAATATATCTCGCGTTTCGATATATTTGTTCCGACGAACAGACATAGTGGACGCGGAGCGAAGCTTCTCCGTGAAATGTTTCGCTATCTGTTCGCGTTTCTCACGAGAGAAACAAAACGACGCGTGACTGGAGACAAAATCAAGTTTACACAATGTGTGATTGTTCTATTCTAAAATTTAGCAATTAGAATTCCTGGCAATATGCAGAAAAGAATCCAATCAGGCGCATCTCCTTAGGTCATTTCTTTGACATAGGCATTCAAGGAATATCCACTGAATATTTTCTGGATAATGCAATATATTCTGTAGATAATTCATATTCTCAGAATATTGTGTGCCACATGGACTTCTGCTGTAATATTAAATAATATACATTTATCACACACGTTTAGCCCTCCCCAAGTACGACTAAGTTGTAAAAAACAAAATCTATATTTTTCAAGTGTAGATAAGTCAAAAATGTTAATATCCTTTATTCAAATTTTATCCGTATTTTTCACAAACTTGATACATTTGATGCAAACATTACATAAACACAATCGCATTGAACATTTGCTGCGCACTACTTTTGATTATCAAAAAAGACTATGTAAATTATATAAGTCTCATATATATTTATCTATATAACAACTGAACTAATAATAAGTTATCTTTGTTTATTTAAATTTATAATTTTGATTGAAACTTGGTATTTGATGTGTTACATCAGAAAAACCGTATGTACGCAATTACAAAATATATTACAATTTTAAGCGATAATAATATATACGACGAATAAAAAATCGCACACCAGTCCGTCATTTCTCTATGTGTGGCTTATGAGAGAGCCAATATATTTTATGTCACAACACTTCGGTAAAATATTGAACACATTTTATATTACGCAGTTAAAATTTAAGCAAACGTTTAACCATAAAACATTTAAAAATATCTTGCTGAATTAGCACCTCAATTTTCCGACTCTATAACTTGCGCGTATTATATTTAATTATTGTGTAGTCTTGTATATATAATATCTAATAATATGAATTTATATTGAATATTACATAACAACACGAATTATCGTATGTGTATAACAGAGAGACAAAAATTTAAATGTTTTCTCGTAATTAGTTTTGTAAATTGTCTTCTCACCCTGTAAATCCTTCGCGATTTCACTACGCCGGTTGCAAATTTTAACAAAAAAGTTATCAATAATTGCAAAAACGATTCAAGATTCTTGTTATATTTGAATATTACAAACGAGATATAGAGCAATATTCATATATATGCGTTTATATATACAAGTATATATAGACGTTTTAAAGTAATTATAAGTTTTTGCAATGTTTGTTGTAGTTGCGCGCATAAATATCGTACTGTGATAATAGAAGAATATCATACTTTTATATATAGTTCTCTTATTACATGAATATTAATTTTGCTAAACAAATCGGTTCTTTTCTTTTCATTATTAATGTGTGTAATTTATAAATGCCTCTGTGCTTGTATAATGTTGTGCGTTACGGGCAATAATTATTGTTAAATTATTAGTCGCGCTAGAGCTGCATAAGTGCTTGAAAACGTGAACCTCTTCGCGGATATACGATTTTTGTTTATTACACTGCGGGTATATGTCAACATTCATTGTAACAGCAGCTGACCTCGTACGTTATCACTCGTAAATAACCTTTCTTTTCGTCACGAAGATAATTCGTGTTAGAATGTAAAAAAATTCAAAATGTGTATATATTACCGTGTATGCAAAACGTGTAATAGACACGCTCGCGCTTACACACATTCTTCTAGACCTAAAATCTAGATCTATAAAAAATCGAACGCTAACAGACTTTGACATTTGGCACATTTTTTACTCTCATAGAGCTAGTTTATTCGTTTGTAGAAACAAGAGTAGAAATTTCGATTAAAAAAAAAACAGGTATTGATAAAAATCCTAATTCGCAATATATATTTTTGATTTCATTTTAACGTCGTATCAACTCTTTATAACACAAAGACGGTTATCTTTTTATCGCGTCTTTATCGTTAAATATAATTATTGTTAGTAATGTTTTTTTTTTTACACACTAAGTTATTTCTAAACAAAATGTGTTATAAACACTTTTCTATATTTTTTTTCTCTCTCTTTTTTTCTTTCTCTTTCTCTCTGAGAATCCGATTTTAAGAAAGTATTTTCGAGTCGTATTTTTGAATAATAGAATAATTCGCGCGGCATTCCATTTTAGGCAGTCGTTTTCCTTCCGCTTATTAATTACAGGCAGAACCGTTGTTCCCGTTCGCAGCCTGAAAGCGTCGATAGATTTCATTTACACCGGCTTTGAGTGTACGTGTGAATAAATAAAAAGAAATACGGGAAAAACAATTTCATCAGAGGCAGATAAATTATCACGCAATTTAAACGTTTTTTTTTTTTTTTGCAAATCCGATCTGCTCGTTACGACGAGCGCATTCGCGATTTGAAATATATCTAAGAGTAACACGTTTACAAGTTTTATAATTGTCGCTTAGCTTTATTATCGCGTAAGAGACAGTTCTGTGATTTTCCATACAGAAGTTTTGGAAAAAAACAAATCTACTGGGTTTATCAGAATTTTAACTGTTTTTTTTTCTGTGAAAAGTTTTACACGGTAATATAATAAAACCATGTTAACACATGGCGGCGATAGGGGTTACGCTATAAAAAAAATTAAAATCGATTATTCCCGCGGACTACATCTGCCTCGGATATCCGTGAGATCGCCTGAACCTTGTACCCGCGTCAAGTTCGTCCCCGATCGGGACGATCTGATCGCGTTCGTGTCGAGATACGAATTGGATGATACACGTGGCATCGATCTCGATGCTACCTTTAAGTTCGCCTGACTGCCGTAAAACGAGGTAAAGGCCGTGTCCGAACTGACGCTTAAGGGTAAACTCGTCGCATCCATTGTCTCCCTCTCGCTTCCGAGGGTGGACGCTCTTATATCGAGGGTGCCGCTCACACCGGACATCCCGGAACTCGTTGCCATCTCCACTTCTCCAACGTCAGGGTGAGATATGTGTCTAAAAAAGATCGTCTAAGAATATACACATATTTATAACAAATGAGAGAGAGAGAGAGAGAAAGAGAGAGAAAGAAAGAATGAAAAGGAGGACAAGAAAGTAGAACGAGTAAACGTCGTTTGAAAAGTAACGCGTAATCTACCTGTAATCCGGAATAGGTGGTTCAATGTGTTGCGTCCGTGAGGTCGTCGACATAGGTGTTCTCTTTATGGCATATATGTATATGCCAATCATTGTGAGCGCATATGAAACGAAATACAACGCGTGGAACTAGAACAGAGGCAATTCAATCGCGCGATTCAACGTGAGATCTTTTTTAAAGGGAAAAAGTTAAACTAAAATTAAAAAATGAGACTTTATAGCTCTCGTACTCTGGATGTGTATATGCAAAATAGATATATATTTTAACGTGTAAAATTAAAACACATATAAATAACATATAAATCTTAGAATTGTTATTCAATTCGAATTTTCTATACGTATTAATTTACATTAAAAAAAACTATGTACAATATATTTTGCATCTAGCGTACACACATCTATAAAGTCCTATCTCTTGATTTTTCTAATGATTTCTAGAGAAAAAGAATAAAAAAAAAATAAATAAATAAATAAAAAGAATAGAAGATTACTGAAACGCGACATTAATTAGAAAAAACGCGTGTCTCTCAAACTATAGAATCATTTTATGTATTTCGCACACGTGCGAAAAAACCTACTACAATGACTTATGAATTAGTTGAACAAATTATATATTCGTGCGTGTTTACCGATGCGACCGCGCATCGTAACGTGAGAATTGATTTTGTTTACCTTGTAATAATGATTAAGCATGCCGGCTAGTATATTGAACGAGTCCGAAGTGAGTAGGGCCAGTTGCAAAGCGGTAGCGCCGGACTCGTACAGTATTACCGGTACCAGAGAGAAAAACATAAATTGGGTGATGCAGTAAAGAATTAGAATCGTTATCACCGGTGCATTGTCCCAACGAAACGCTTCTATTTGAAGCCTCTCGAGCACGGCACTTTATTGAAACACATGTGAAACGATCAGATCACGATGTGATCATATTATTGAACATCTTTTTTTTGTCATATTTGTGTCATATACTTACATCTGCATGCAACTTAATATCGTGCCGAAGAAACCGATCATACCCAGGTATTCGATAATATCGACCGTTTTGACAACCAATTCTTGTAGAACCGTCGTAACCGAGAATAATACCGCTCCGCCCAGACAAAGCATGTCGCCGACAAGTTGATTCTTTCCTGATGTCATGTGATAAAGCACACAGTATATCAATTGTCTTTATCTGTTTTTTTTTTTTATCACAACAACAATTTTTATCGGCTTTATTATGTACACGTGATAATTACCAGTTGACGAGGGATCATTGTTGTTGTCTATACCGGCCCAAACGAGACATCCCACACCCATTAAACAGACGGATACGCCAACGATGTGCACCATTCTATATCTGACACCCAACACCAGAAACGACAATACCAAAGCAACTGGTATTGCCACACAGTCAAGAAGCTGAAATATTGTTTAATTTTTTATAGTAATTTTTTTATGTTACGTAACGCAATTTAACTTTGTTTAAACATTAATATATCTTTTTAATATGTTAATGTTTTAAACATCTACGTGTTAAGGAACGACAGTGAGGCGACAATGAAGTAACGTTGCCCGCGATTAAAACTAGCGATTTGTAAAAAAAAAAAAAAACAATGAGCCCTTAATTGTCTGGTTAAAGTGTTAAATTAATTGATTATATAACAACTGAACGAGAAAGTATTTACTTGTATACTGGCGAGGCTGGTAAATTGATGCGAGGACGTGATAAGCGTGCACGCCTCGACGTCGATTAACGCCAGAAGCAGATATCTCCAACCACGGGCCCTTATCACGGAAATTAGATCATTTCCCACACCTCTGCAGGACATCCATGTCGTGTAAACTAAACACATCATCACGTAGTGCGGAAGATTTTGTCCTGTTTCGGAAAGAACAGATGTGCTTTAACACTTTAAAGAGGATTTTTTTTTCGATTTGCCACACTTTTTAACGGGCTTAAGTTTGTTTTTTTTCAACGAGCTGTATATAAAAACAAAAGCGAAGAATCGTTAGGTGAACAAGTTACCTGTTGGAAGCGAGAGCTTGTAGGGAGCGGTGGTGTTTATGTAGTGATTTACGAGCGTCATAAAGCACAACACTATCGAGAGAAACTGACCCATTATTATCGCTCTCCATACCGCCCTGTTTTACAATCAGTTAATTATCAATTAACAAATCTCAAGAGAGAGAGAGCAATACTTACATGACACACAAGAAACTACCATAGAATTAATTATAGAATAAATTACCTTAAATATATAAAAAATTAGATCGTTGAAATTGTAATCAAAATAATTTCCCGAGGAAAAAGTCGATAAAACAAATAGGAGATTACTGAAACGCAACATTTTTGTTAGAAAAGATACGCGTGTGTCTCAAAATACAGAATCTCGTCTCACGTATTTCGCACACGTGCAGAACCTACTGTACTGACACTAGCGCACGAGTTTCTCAAATCGTATTGTTATATAGATTTATTGTCATCGATCGCGCGCGACATATTTTTTTTTTTTTCGCCGAGAACTGAATCTAATTCGGAATTACGCCGCGGGGTTACACTTCGTTACAACGGCAATCGCGAGCAAGTTACACGACGAGAGCTAAATATCACCCGCCACTTTCACCCCGGGAAATGCTCAGGTCGTTCGCCCCCTTCTTCGACCCCACCCTCTCTACTGCCTACAGCACAGGGAAAAACACACACTGTGGTCCCTGCGGGTGTTCAGGGCGGTCACCCTCAACAGCGATTACTCACGTACCATCGACCCAGTTCGGATATGTAATTTTCGATTTTATCGCAGACCCCATTCCTGGCCTGCATCGTCGGGTTTTGAACTCCGTAACGATCGCTCACCGGACCTCTCATGCCATGGTGCATTTTCGTCCTGAAGACTCCTCGCCGGCGAGGGTTCGTTGGGCCGAGGCGCTTGCGCGTTCTCTTTCTTCTCCTTCTCCTTCTACTCTCTCATTCGACTCCGTTTGCTCTTGTCGCTTTATTTGTTTTTATTTTTCTCGAGCGTACAACAAAAAAAAAAGAGAAATATTATTTTACTATATGCGGCACGTGGGATAATGAGATACCGCGACCGATAAAACGACGCGTCGTCGCAACATCGCGTCAAATTTCGAAGTCGAAGCCAATTCTCTCGATCGAAAAATAATTGATTGCGCCCTCATTTTCTGACGTGAAAACACTTAACGTGCGAAAAACTTTTGGAAATTTAAAGATCGATTCAAGATTTTTTGTCTTCTGTGATAATTTGTTCTCGAATGAGCTCGAGAGAGTAGCATTTAATAATATTATAACGCGTCGATAGAAGGACGGAGAAGAGTAAAATGACAACGTAAAGAAGTACGTCTTTATTTGTATATACCGAGTAGTTCTTTCGTAGAATTTTATTTACAATATATTTCAACATTCTCGGATGTAATGTGAGCGCTCGGTTCACAATTATCCGATAGAGTTTGCACTTTTACACAACGATCTTTTTTTGTCAGAGAGATTTGCATACACACGCATATACACACGCACACGCACACGCACATTATATAAACTTTACATAAATCTTCAACTTACTTATATTCTATGTTTATTATATATCTCAAACTTGTTGTTTTGCTCAGATAAAATTACAAGTGTAGATCTTTCGACGTATGAAAAAGAAGGCGATTTTAAACGCTAAGAATTTGTGCAATCGATGTTTTTTTTTATCGATTCGAATAATGTACCGCTACTCGAATATAACGTTGGTTGGTTTTTTTTTTTTTTTTTTTTTTTGTTAAATCTTCTAATGATTGATCGCCCGTGTACAAAGAGGAAATTTCGAGATTTAATATCGTTCGAGCGTGCAGTCGCGCGGTTCACATAGAAAGTTGGAAAAATAGTATAATTTAATTTTTTCCACTAAATTCTCCGATCGCGCGTGTTCACATTGCACACGCCCGGAATAAATAACGCGCGAATTTCTTATTCTTGCCTGAAAAGACATTATTTCACTCGCGAGATATACGCACACGTGAATATACGTTCGATTGAAGTGCGGGCGCCGGATATTATACTCACACGTCGAAAAACTCGATCTATCGGTTAGTCGGAATAACGATAAAAAGTCGAATGGAAAAAACGGAGACAGAAGAGTATACGAGGTAAAAATTCTTCCTTCGTCACATCGTGTTTTACGATGCAAAATGTGTAGAGTATTTGAAATTTGATTATTTTCGAGCGAACGCCGCTTAATTTGTTTACTCCCGTTCGATATGAGCAATAAACAATTATCGAAGACTCTGAGGAAGAGAAATCTTTTTTTCGTCGATTGACAAATCGATCGATCAATTGGTCACTTTAAATCAGCATTAGAATTAATCTTATTTTTTCTTGGCCTCCTCCTCTACCGTCTCGTTCTGTTTGCGGAAACAATCGCCCACCGGGAAGAAGTCCCAACATCTTTGTTGATACATATTCCACACGTAGGTCTCCTGACCTGTGTACTCGGTATCCGGTTTGTTGATCAGGTGCATGAGAAAGAACCTGTTAGAGGAAAAATTACGTATTTAAAAAAATCACAAAATATATTAACACAGAAAACAATTAATAAATATTCTTTTGGCAAGAGAATAAAACGAGATGTCGTGCGAGACATTTCGTCGTTATATATATTTACATGTAATTTGCTAAGTTATGCTCTTGCTGAACGTGGGTGTCGAATCCGTGCGGTACCGCGTCGAAGTATTCTTTTCCCAAGCCGCATATGAAGCAGTTGCTTTCCATATTTGTCTTCACATTGTCGAGCTGATCTCGAAGTTCGCCAAACGCGTCGATAATCAAACCTGTGAGAATCGACAAATATCGAATCACTCAGTCTCTCTTACAAAGTCGAAGAAATCGACAGGGTGTTATATATACTTACCCTGAATGATAGCCAACAGAATAACAATCACGAAGAAGAAGAACGTGATGTCGAACATGATACGATAAACCTCGTAATCGTCGCCGTCGGGCTCGCCGATCTCATCACCTATGCCTCCGCCGGCTCTCACGCCTTTGTACAGGTGGAAGACGAAACACTGTCGAAACAATGAGAGAAAAAAATATATATATACAACAATACGTAACAAATCTGTGAAATTAAAATACTTATTAAAAACATTTTTTGTTTATATTTCTATATAACGTTTTGTACCGTTAACATATGATGACATTTCTTGTCGGGTTCGTCGTCTTCCTCCTGTATGTAAAACTTGCGGAAGAAATTGAAGGCTATTACGGTGTAGATGTACACCACAATTGTAAGCAGCATCACCGTCAACACCAGCTGCTTGCCGTTGTGCGTAACAGATTGCAAGATCGTTCTTAGCGTTTTAAAACCGACCGCAACGTCCAGCAAGTGAGCGGCGAAGAAGAAGTTGTTGTAGTTGCCCAAAATTGAAAATGTGAAGTACCACAAACTGTATAAAAATGCCTATAAATAAGAGTAAAATAATTAAGTACAAAAGAGCATATACACACATAATTTTAATCTCATTATCCTTAAAGTGCACATATCTTCTGTCGTAGGGTTATCGTATTTTAATAACTTTAATTAATTAAATAAATTTAATTCAGAAAAGATAGTTCTCTGAACTTCTTATGAAAAAATTAATTTTAATATTGAGAAAGTCTACGACTTATAAATTATATCTTTTTTTTCTGTTTTTATAAATTAATAATTTTTATTCTTCTCCAATTTTTATGACTACTTATTCAAAAATTTTATAATTACAAATCCAGGATTGTCCGAATCAATCCCGGACGTCTGATAACTCTACACTATCGCACTGTGGGGATATTTATAAGTATTCTTCCGTATTTTTCACCACATGTTAAAATATACATAAATGCGTAGAAAGTTCAACAGTTTGTTTGCAGAACTTCGTTTTGTTTTAATTGCACAATGAAAGAAAAAATCAATTTTCTAGGCTCGAAAAAAAGTTATAAAATAATTTTTTTTGTATCTCTCTCTATATGCACTTTAAGGGTTAAATTAATCTCGAGTGAGCGCTTACGTTATCTGTGATGGTAACGCCGGCTTTCCAGATCTGATATCGCCAATCGATATTTACGATGCTGCAAAAATTAATTTTTACGTTTTATAAAAAAAAACTATAAAAGATACATATTCATGTACACGTCCGTGTATAAAACTTACAAGTGTATCAAGCCAGAACCTTCTTCTTCTTGCTGACTGAACGAAGTCTTTTCCATTCCAAGCAAATTACTGATGTAATCGAAATCGTACGTCTCGCTGTATTTCTGACGGACTTTTTTCTTGACGAACTTGTCCCAATAATTCACGGGAAATGTTTTCGCCGATATCACCATTTTGTCCCAATGTGCCTTGATATCGTCCTCTTCCGGCGTCTCGGCTATGTACAAACCGTCGAATTCTACTCTACGCGCGATCTCCTTCTCTCGTTTGAAGATAGCCAACGGTACCTGAATAAAAAAAATATTTGTGATTCGAATCGCGACAATTGTTTGTTAATCACAACGCGAGATCGCGTTTTGTCGTCGCTTGAATTACCTTTAGATGATAATACGCCACCAGCATAGCGAGCGAAACGATAGAATGAAGAGCAGCCAATAGCCTCATTACGTGAGCCATGTAGTAATAATCCTCTGCCACTTCCACGAATTCGTTAGCCCCGTCGTCTTCCTCTTCGGAATCATTTTCGCCGCTACCGCTACTCATTTCCATGCCACTACCTCCTATTCCTGACGGGCCTTCGCCTGACATTTCCGCCAACAAATCCGCCATTTGTCCGCTACCTTCCTCATCTGAGTCTTCGGTTAAAGATGTCACCTGAAGTGTGAAGATAACAAACAAGTAACGACACGTCAGTTTTCGAGTTGTGTGTGTAAGATTTTATATAAATTATCTTGCGAAATATTTTATTCAAGACAAAATGTGTGCAAACAAATTGCAGTTTTGCAAACCTTGTAGAAAAGCAGCATGAAATTGATGCAGAAAGCGAGAACCAATGCGACGTATTTCAAATTGTAGAAATTTCTGGCCAAGAAGGATACCACCCGATGACTGTATTGGGAAAGATCGATACTAGATCCCGTGGATGGTTCGACCGTAATTTCTTGTTTCGCTTCAGCTTCAACCGCTGCCATGGCGGCTTGTTGAGCCGCAGCGGCTTCAGCCGCCGAAGCGGCTTGCGCTCGGGCTTGTTCCCCACTGCGGGAATGTTGTAATGAAAGATTTATTTTTAATTAAAAAACAAAAAACGAGAAGCATACACCACAGTCAATTTTGATACTATAATTAGATCCGCGAGAGCAGCATTAAATTTAAGAAAAAACTTGGCTCGCGTCTATAATTTTTCTACGCAAAGATTTTAAATAATTAGTTTACTTTTATTTAATTGTATTTTTTAAATTTTGTGTAATATATTATATTTTACATAATATAATATATTACATAATAAATTTCATTGTACTTAATAATAATTATATTCTATTATTACGTACTTTAAAAAATTTCTGTATTGAAAAAAAAATGGAGCTTAAAATTTATTAATTTATTGGTTTAATCGCTGTATGCACTTACCCGAGTAAATCGGCCAAAGTGACTGGTGCCTCGCTCTCTCCTCCCTCAGCCCTCGCTCCGTCTTCTCCGGTACCTTCTTCGGGTGTACTCTCGCCAGTTTCTTCGATACTAGATTGAGGCGTAGATGTGCTCGATTCATGAGGCGCTATCTTTATCTGTCCTCCTTCTTCTTTTGTTATATCCATTCCGAACGCTTGCACCTATATACGAGAATTTTTTTGTGTCTTAGAGTTATATTATTAGTAGAGCACAAATAGATACATAAATTATCGAGAAAATCCTACCTGTAAGTTCGATTCATCCGGTGTCGGTGGCAAAGCGGGCAAATGCCTGAATGGTTTCTCTTCCTCTTCTTTGACGACTATAGGCTCCTCCACATGTGGTCCTCTCATTAGTGTCAACAAAAGTTTCATGAAGTATTTGATCACGCAACCGACACCAAAACCAGAATAATAGAACGCGTAGAAGATCATTTTGAAGAAACCGACAAAAAGTTCCGGAATCGTCATCTGTTGCATCTCGGCAATTTTGTTCTTTATATTGGTCGGTGAGAACAGATAGAAGAAGTAATACACGCCATCCTTGAACGCCTGTATGCTACGTCTAATCGGATCTTTTCTTTCCTCATCGTCTTCGCTCATGTACGTGTACGAAGATTCCCTAGCTTTGCCAATTCCGCTGCTCTCCTCGACGGTCATTAACGCGCTCGCGTGTTGCATCTCAAAAATAGCATCCTCGCAGAAGTTAATGAACGTTTCCAATTTTTCCTTCTCGCCGGCCTCGACCACCGTGTTGTAGAAGTAAGTTCTTTTCGATTCTTTGATCTGCGGTTTCTCCCACTGCTCGATATTTGACTCTTTGATCTCGAAATACACGCGCTCGATCTTCTTGTTGCCGCCGAGAATTTCGATTCTACCCAGAAATGGTTCGAAGTAATTGAGAACGGAACCGGCTGTTTCGAGAAATTTGGCTAGTCTAGGCTCGTTAGGCATGTGCTCGGACAGATTGGTGAGCAACACAGCCAGATTGAAACCGATCTCCTTCGACGGTTCGTGAAAACGATCCATGAAAGCGACGTAATCGATCTTTCCGTCGTGATTTGTTTCGCAACAGGCCAGAAGAAAATCAATTTCCTCGCTGAAAACATTTCAGAATACAATATACAAGATATAGATATCCGCACACGTATTTATGTGTATGCGGTTGATTTGATTCGCGAGGATAAAAAAAAAAAAAAAAAAGAATTTTATAAACGTACTTGGTGTAACTCTTTTGTTGCTCCATCTTCTCTTTGAAATCCTTGGGATAGACCCATCCGTCGTTGTTGAGATCGACTTCCAAGAAACTCGGAGATGATACGAGATCCTTCAGCTTCAAGAACATATCGAAATACTTCAAGATCAATTCCACGTTGCTGGCTGACTCGACCAGAGTGTCAACCATTTGCTTTCCGATAGTTCCGTTCACAACGTTACCTGTGACAACAAGAGGCGAATATATTGAACTGTTTCGTTAAGTTCTCTGAATAGAATTTGAACAGAAAATCTTTCGTACACACCTTCAAGCATAGAAAGCATCATGGTGATCATGTCCTTCTGCAAGTTCAGCAACTCCTTCAAAAGATCCACTTGACTGGAATGCTTTGACAGCTTGTCTTGCATGTGGGAGAATAAGAAGAGAAAACCTCCGACAGCGTCCCACAATCTCGAGTGTGCCAACGCTTGTTGATTTTGCGCGCACGGACCCTGAATAACTTCAGTGAGAGTGTTGAAAACTTGACTGGCTACGCCAATAGCCTTGAAGAAGTTTGCCTTGCCGGCGGGATCGATGAGTTCTTTGCTCGAGTAATGCCAGTAAAAGTCCATGATGGATTCCTGCAGTCGCAACAGGTAATCGACGGTGCAGATGACCACGTTCACCGTCGTCGTGTTGCCAGCCTGCGTTCTGAGATAATTCTGCCAATCTGTTGCAGACAGAAAATGAAAGAAGAGATTACGAGATAATAACAAAAAATAAAAAAAAACATCACTCGATTTGATCTATTTTTTGTTAGAAGAAATGACTGACTGCTCACCGAGATTGTGACCCTCACAAGTCAACTGAATGAAACGGAACAAGGCGCAGGTGAATTCGGCGTCGTGCATATTTTTCTCGCCAGCCGCACCCTCGGACCCGACACCAAGACCCTCGGCCTTTGTGTTTCTCTCGAATGCGTCCAGATCCAAGACGCTGCAAGAATTCATCAGACCCGCGATCGACGTGAAGAAGCCGACGTCTTTCTTTTCCTTCAAATGATTCAACATTCCTCGCTGGATCTCAATATTGCCGCCGCGCAGGATCGAAATTCCAAGTTCCAAAGTCTTCATCACCATCTCGCTTGGGACACCCTTGCACGCCGATATGTGCAGTAGAACCATCTCCGCCACGCCGCGATTCGCTAGACGAGCTTGATGGAACAGCAGTTTCTGCTTTTCCATTTCTTGTTCCTGTGTCAAACACGCAAACGCACAAATGAACGCAAATGCAAAATAATGTCACAAAAATAATACAAAGTACATCGAGAATTACGCAAGAACGTGTGTAAATAAATTTTGCAAAAGGACGTACAATTCACGATTGCACGTGGAAATGAATTGAATTACATCGATTGCGATATTACAATAATTATTTGCACGCACACGCTCGGAAGTAATTTAAATTTTAAAACACGATTTTACAACGTGCACGCGTGTAGGTACGTATATACATATATAAAAAAAAAAAAAACATGTACGCAACCTCTTACCATTAGTTTCTGCATAGTCCTCTTGAGAGTCACGTAAAAAAACACACAGAGTGTACAGTTTATTTTATAAATACGTTATTACGTTAGCGAGATAAGTCGATGAGAAAGGAAAAAAAACGATCGCAACAGCCTACAATGCTTCGCTCGTGAATGATTTTGTTTTTTTGTTTTTTTTTTTCATATTGCTTAATTGCTTTGATAAATAGGACAATGTAACAATTCAATGTCGAGAGATGTAAACGTGACTATAATATTTTGGGCTTGCGAGCGTATTATTACATTAAGCGGATGGATATAGTCGCACTAACTACTTATTCTTACCATAAGTAGCTTATGCGCCGGCTTCTAGTGAGTTAGAAAAAGACGGGAATTCGTTAATATACGGTAGACAGGCTGTGAGAATTCGAACAGTTCCATTTTCTCACTCGAAGTAGTTTTTCTTTTTTTAATTCACGAGGTGGTTGCGATATCGAAGATGCTTACATGGATCGAGGCTCCGCCTTCCTCCTCACCGCCTCCCTCCTCCTCGCCCTCTTCCTCTTCCTCTCCGCAAGATTTGGAAATGATCTGAGCGTAACTCATGTAAAGCGGATCCTCTTGAAGCGCACCCGAACGTTCGGTCATGGCACCGCGACAAAACGTTGTTACCAACTGCGTCAGCGGATCCGGCTTGCTCTCATCCTCGGCCTTGTCCATCTTCTTCAATTCGGCATCCTCGAAGGATTGCTGAAAAATTGAGATGCAAATAGTTTTTTTGTTTGTTTTATTCAAAATTCTAGTGTACAAAATTACGCGCGTAATTTCTTTTTTTTTTTTTTGTTCAACTTGAATCACGGGAAAAATAATTGATTACCGTGAGATCTTCGATCATAACTTCTTGACCCACGTTTTCATCCTGCAGCCACAACTCGTAATATGTTCGCGCGAAAATGTTTATTGCTCTGTGCCTATCGTAACAGAAACGGGATTTTTTGTTAGAAAAAAAATTACAATATCAAAAATATTTTTTTAAATAATAAGTAGTAGTAGTAAATTTTAAATCCGCATTAAAATCGTACCTTCTTAATTTATACAGAGGCTCACTACGCAAACATGCAATCGCTGCTCTTTTTCTGGCAGCGCACAACACGCGTTTCCATCCATCTCGTGATGGTGGCGGTTTTGTCGCCTGTTAGCGTGCACACAAATAGCAAGCGCACTCATTAAAAACCATCAAACCATCAATAGTTATTGTTATGAATCGTGTGTGGCGAGATAAAACAATTAGTTTTTTTGTATTAGCGCTAAACACTGAATGTTGCACTAAAGTTCTTGTCGTCTAAAAAAATTTGCTCTCTTCTATCGACAAAAAAAAAAAAAAAACTAATATTAGTTACGTACATTCTATGCGTATGTATGATGTGGCTAATTCTCGTATAACGTTTTTATCTACGCAAAATTCAAAAAAACACACTCTAACACTCAAATGATTTTCTTTCTCTCTCTCTCTCTCTCTCTTTTTCTCTCACTCCTATGACGGTATTAAAAAAAAAAGTAAACGATGATACACGACGACATTACGCAATTGAAAGATTAACTGAAGCGCAAACGTAATAAGATCAGCAAAAACCAAAAACCCAAAAGGATACCTGGGCAAGGAATGTAGGGAAGTTTGACGAAAGCAAGCGATTACCGCTCGTTTACGTTGGATCGACACCACGGATCTGTACTGACTCTTGCTCTGCTGTTGTGGATGATCTATCTACTCGAGAACATAAAAAATTACGTAGAATGAATGACGAATGTCTGCGTGATCGCTTCAAACAAAAAGAAGATGACGACGATTTTCTCATTGACACTCTCCTCTTTCATTCCTCGATGATCGATAAAAATACAATAGCAAATTAAAATAACATTAACAGAGATCCGAAGAGATTATTCTTCTCTCTGAATAATCGAATATCGAAGAATTAAAAAAAAAAACTCTATATATATATATATATATATATGTACACGCGCGTACGCACACTCGCGCAAGTTTGTCACGCGACAAGACTAACCATATGTAAACCGTACAGGACTTTGGCCATGTCGGTGATTCTGGCAACCACGTCCTCCAGTTGTTGAGCCTTGACAGGTTCTATCGCGTCCTTTTTCTGACCGAGTTTCGAGTACAGATAATGCTGCCAAGACATTTCGTCGGCAGGATCGATCTTATCCGGCAGGGTTAATTGAGTTTTGGCGAATTCCGCGATCTCGTATTCCGGCATCTTCTTCAAAAATCTATCTTTGCAATGTTGCACCAATTCCTGTTCGCGACCGGCGAACAGATTCAAACCGACGGGCAGCAATCGCTTCAGACAAGCAACCATCAAAGAGGCTTGCACTTCTTTGTCCTTGTCTCTCTTCTTGTCGCGGTGCTTCTTCTTTTTCTGGAAATGGATATTTAGTCGGTCGGTTTAGTTGTTTCTCTGTTCACAAGATCGCGTTTCAGGGAAAAAAGTTCTTCACACGCGGACAAAAAATTGTCTCAACGTCAGATATTTGATTTATAATCGGATATCAAATTTGTTCAGGATGTGCAGGAGTTTTTTTTTACTAGAATATTAATTGAACGAGATTATTATTATCGAATTATCGAAATATTGTACAAACCTTGCCACCTCCGGAAGGTGCGGTGCCATCGGACACCGTAGCGGGTCTTCTGGTCGCGGTCGGCATGATGAGCACCATGTTGTCGATCTCGTTCGCGGATATGAAGTTTTGCTCTTCGCGCAAGAAGTACTGCGACTTTGACCAGATGTTAAATATGGCCGCCACATGATTGTAGAGATCCTCCGCATCGGAGATGTTGTTTCTGAGCCAATGATTTCTCTGAAGATCGACGTATTTGATCAGCAGCGGATAGAACGAGTAAATATCGCGAACCAGTAACTGCCAGTCTTCTTGAATTTGCGCCTCGACCTGCGAGGTGTCGTCCGTCGAAGATTTGATAAAACCGCGAAGAGATTCCTCTTTGTGAAACATGGTGTCCGTTCGTTTTCTAACGCGTTCGGCAAGAGGTAGAAACGGATCCTTCAGCAACTCCTCCGACGAGTTGATGATGATCTGCTGCGTGTAAGCAGCGATGCGCGTCATCCACGGCGCGTTCTCGTTGCCGATGTTCTTCTTGATCAGCTTCAGCACGTTCTTCAACAACTGATTCATGTGATCGCTCGTGACCATACTGACGAAATTGCCTTCGCTCGGAGTCGCGTTGTCCGGTCCCTGCGCCCACCAGAATGGCAAGTACGAGCAGAGCAGAGGAAGTATCACGTCGACCACGTGAGGCGCGTCGTTGTAAGTCTTCTCGGATTCGACGAATTGATCGACCTCGTTGAGAATGGTTTCCAGAGTCGGCATGCTGGATTCCATCTTCGTCATGATGTCCTGAGCCTCCAACGAATGATCGGCGATACGATTTAGAAGAGAAAATTGATTGTGTTTGTTCAGTTGCGGCTCTAAGAAAGCCACCGGGAAGCAACTCGAAAAAGCGCCCAGACAAGAGCCCAGATTGGGTTTGTGTCGCTCGATCTCGGTCTTCAAGTACTTTCTGTCATGCGTTAAAGTAGCGTCTGTTCCGAGAGTGTAGAGAGACGCCAGCATTTTGTACGACGCTACTTGAATTTCGTCAACTATCGGATGAAAATAAATTAAATAATTCATCAATCGATCGATCGATCAATTGAAATACAATATTGACACAAATATGTTCGCACATTGAATACAAAAATTTTTGAAATACTTACGTAACAAGTCGCTTCCGTATTCGCACGCGGCAAGATGATCGAACATTGCGGTTAGCACCGGCAGAACTACGCTGTTGACGTACGACAGCGACGTGGAAGTTTTCAGATGAGTACCTCGAAGATGACTGTATTTCCCTTCCTGAAGATTCAGAATTGTGTGGCCCAAATCGTCAGCGGTGTTGTTGAAGAAGGTTAACATCGACGTTCTGATGAATTCCGGACAATTCTTCACGAGACTCTTCGCGTCAATGCCTTTCACGAGCACTTGCAAACAACGAACCGTTATCCTCACATCCGCGCCGAAAGCAGCGAGTCTCGATCTCAACAAACTCGCCAACTTGCAGAAAAGAGAAGCCACCATCTCCTTCTCCTTCAATGACGCCGCGCCGACGTTGTTCGTCGCAGTGGCAACGGCGATAAAGTAATTTCTATGAGTGCTGAAGTACTTCTCCATGAGCGGCAAGACCACTTTGCTAAAGAACTTGATGTCTCTTGTGGAGGTCTTGAAACTGTTTCTTCGACTAAACGTGTCGGAAGGTTTCAACAACTTCATGTTGATCGTCGCCTTGTCCAGATAAGCTATCAACTTCTCCAGCAACGAATAAGCGAATCGCAACTCGACCGACGGAATAGCCCCGGCCACTTCTGTCTCGGCGCCACCGCGATTAGGTTTGTGAAGTTTGTAGCCTTGGTACTGCAAGTACTTGAGAAACTCCTGCGATCGCTCGCGATCCTTACGTTTCTCTTTGTCGGTCAGCAGATCGTAAGGTACCAGTTGTGGATGAATACCACCTCCTGGAAAAAAAATTATCGGAGAATGTAATTTAACGAGATAAAATATAATAATCAGAAGGGGCGTTGTGTCTCAGCGATCTGAGAAAAAACTAACCGCAAGTCACGAGTTCTTCCTTCTTCTTCTTCGCCCAGATATCGTGAGCGTTATCCGCCAGACGTTCGGCCATATTCTGCATTTCTCTGCTCAACGTCAGATTAGTCATGTCCACCGGATGAGGATTGTAATTGAACGGATTTGCGGAGTCGCCCTGTAAAGGCACCGCATGTTAGCGCGTGTTCTCTTTCTCTCTTTTTTTTGCAAGAAGTATAGGATAAATATTTATTCTGTATTTAAATATTTTTATCCCATATATCGATTTTTTCTTACCTGACTCTTGGAAGATCTTCTCATAGAGCTTCGGTTGGTCGACGGGACGTCGACCTCTGCGTGTTCCACGCTCCAACCAATCGCCAACAGAGCCTTCAAACTCTCTCTCACTGGTTCCTTGTATCGTTCTCGCTCGTAATCATTCAACATATGATACGGTTTCAATCTCGGATGGGTTTTATTCACGTCCGACCATTGATCGCCGTAGGTCCATCCGTTTTCCAACTTACGACTGGCCCAAGCGTCGTGGTAATGCTCGGAGAACTTTTGCACAATCTGATTAAGATCGTTATTGAGCACCACACTGAAAAAAGATTGTAAGCAAGATGTTGACTATACTCCGTGTGAGATCGCGAATTCAGAGATCTCCCAAAAAAAAAATCTTAGAATTATCGCCGATGAAAAATTTGACTATTCACGCATAACTTATTCGCGTGTGCAGACACTAACAAAAATTCCACAATTAAAATAATAAAAAACTAACCTGGACGTGTTGATCGGTTGTGGATTGTAAGGTCCGTCGGGCGATTGCGTGGAGGCCGATTTGCTGCCGTACCATTCGTCGTCGTAATTTTTCGACAAAGAATAATCCGGCGGTAAAGCGCAACCGATAGCTGTTAGGCAAGGTAGAGCTTTTCCGAATAGTTCCGGATCGTAATCCATTTTCGACAAAGAATCGAATATATTGCTGAACAAGACCATCGTCAGACGTTTCTCTTCGTCGCTCGATGCGCCGTACGTACCTTGACCGCCTCCCCCAGTTGAACCGTAATATTTAGCGCAACGATCGTAGTGTAGAGTTAATAACTAAAAATTAAAAAAAAAATCTTGTATTACAGTAAAGAGATTCGAGAAAAAATCCTGCACATGTGTAGACAAATTCAAATATTTACTTGCAAATATTAGAAACAATATTTAAGGACAATATTAAGTTATAAATATTAAACAATAAGTAATGATTATATATATATAATTCGAAAATTATAATAAACCTTGAAGTTATTTAAGTCCGTCGATAAAAGTGATTTGTAAAATTAAAAATAAAAAAAAACTTCTCAACTTTGCAAAGAGAAGTTTTTTCAATTTTCAGTTTTTAATTGTATGACTATTAGTTTTTAATTCAACTAGTACCATCGGTGGACTATAGCTTTAAGATTTATTTTAATTTCTGGATTTTTCCCAGAAGTTTTCGAATTAATTAACTTATAATATTGATGATTAATAATTATATATAACTTAGATGTGTAGAATTTGTGCACATATGAAGAACTTTTTCTCTTCTTAGAAGTAGAATCAACATTAACAAGCGCGTTTATTATTGCGATTATTAGATAACTTTTGCTATGCAGTGCGTGTATAGAAGAAGACAACAAAAAAAATAAACACTTCATCAAATTATTGACGTACTCTGAGAGCAACGGTAGTATATTCCGATAAGTTGGACACATCGACGGTCAGCTTTCTCAGCAATTTCAACAACATGCTCGGTTGCATTTGGCTGCAAGAATACAATTAAAAACAATTTTTTTAAATTGAATTTAAAAATGTAAAAGGAGTGTTAATTAAATAACACGAACTTTTCTCGAAGAAAAAGCGGCAAAACTGCTCGATTTTTTTAACACAAAAGAATAGAATTTAAAAAAATTAGAAATTAAAAAACTTCTCCGTTTCACCTGGTCAATGCGACGAGGAAGTCTGAAACAGCTTCGCGCTGTCCTTTGGTCAGCATTCGATTTTTACTCAACCGATAGACTGTATGCAACGTGGCGTCGAGTAAACTCGCGTAATTGTCAGCCTCGTTGTAAAACTTGGAATGTTTGATCAGCAAAGGCAGAATGCTGTTTCCAATATATCGGTTCATGGCGAGAGCCATGTCGGATTCGTAGCCATCGTTCTATGAAAAAAGAAATTCAATCAAAAGACAAATAGGGAAAAGAAAAGTTGAAATGCTTAGTCATAATTGAAAGGTGTCGTTGCAAAATCAGCGAACTCTACTCGCGTGTAATTTCAAAAGTTGAAAAACATAATTTTAAGTAAAAAAACAAAACTGCAGTAACTGCCCATTTTCAAACGTTCAAATTTATGATTCTGCTGCTTCAGAAACACATGTGTTAATTACAGTATAAGATTAGTTAACTATGCGGAGAATTATAACAATTAAAAAATTTTGAAAAGTGGAGATTGATCGCATTTGCAACGACGTCCTCAATTTAACATTTTTTCATCTTCTTTTACAATAAGATTTTTAATTCTTACTCTGTCAAGCATGGTAGCAGCGCGAAGATCTGGAAGAAAGGCTTCTTCCAGGATCTTGTAGAACAATTCCTGCGTTTCGATGCCATAAACGCGTTCGAGAAACAATACTACGCTCTGCTTGTGTCCCGGTATCAAACCGGACGGTGTGTCACTTTTCGGTCTTTCCTCGCCAGCGGCGGGATTGAGCAGTGTGAATCGTAACGACAGTACACCCTGAAGATCGTCGAGAGGTACTAACGATCTTAAAATCGCTCGAGCTCGAAGTGATTCGTTCTTTCCTGAAACAATAACGTGGACGCTTCAGACACGATGTTTACACACGGAATTAATTAACTCAAAACAAAATTTCTTCGTTTTGTATTACCAACGGATTCTGAAGCTGTCATCTCTTTGTTGGTCATTGAGAAAGGAATAAACGTTGTTATTAGATATTTTAATTGCACTTTGCATGTTTAAAATGAAATTGTCAGTGCGTGTCGCAATAACGTGGCTCTTATTTTTTTTTGGTGAAATTTGTTTTTGAATTTTTTTTTTTGCTATTGCTAAAAAAAATAATCTGCGAAAAAGTTCAGCCCGACCGAATAAGAGAAAAGGAAACTCCTCGGCGCTTAAAAAAATTAAAAAACTTTTTTAAATGCACAAATCGATATTATTTGATTATTTTCTAATTCATCGATTCTATCGAAAAATACTTTAAACGAAAGTTAATCTGGGTAGGATGTACATTTTTTTTTTTTTTATGAATTTTTTTTCGCGGCATTCTCTAGATTGATTCCACAGATTATTTTTTTTATCAGGTGGAACCATTCTAGAAGATGCCGCGAAAAAAGTTCTAAAGTCGAAAATAAGAGTCACTTTAGTGTCGCAAGGAATGAACGCACGTGTGAATTGAAGATGCCAAGTACAAGAATTTTAGAAATTCTAGAAGAGTTGTTAAGATTTTAATCCGATTATATTCGCAAGTAATTAATGCAAAAAAATCATTTACTATCGGGAGTCAGTCAGTAAAATGAGAACGTAATGAAATTGTTGTTTTGAACTGTGAGGTAATGGAAATGCGAATGTTCAAAATTCTTTATCGAATCGTGTGATTAACCTTGTTCTATGACGGAAGAATCCGGAGCGCATCGACCTAATAAATCGACGAGTGTGCAATAGAAATTTAAAATCGCCGCGCCCGTGTCTATGTAGTCCTCATCGTCATCCGATTCTGGAAGTGGATGCTCGAATTGCACCATCATGGTGCCCTCGGCTTCGTCATGTACCTGTGCAAAATACTGAGTTGATATCGTGTTAATAAAATATATCAGATACACATGTGGAAAAAAGAATTACAAAAAAAAAAAGAAAGGATCAGGTAAATTTCACAAATAAGAAAATATCAGTCATTTCTTCGGTTAAGAGAAAATATCAATTTATATTAATTTAATTAAAAAAAGTATGATAAGGATTGACAATATATATATATATATTTTCCGTGGTACCGTGTTTGAAACATCAGTTAGAACATATTGCTTGAGGAAATTTTTGTTTGATTATAATTCCTTATACTTTGCAATCAATTAAATAAAACAAAAAGTCAGCTCTCTTGCAGTCTCACAACGTGACTTACTTTTCTTCTGTCGGCAATACGTTCAGACATTTTATTAGCGTCTATGATAGCTCTCAAGAGACCTTCACCTTCACCCCGAAGAGCCGGGCCTAAGCATTCTGGTCTTCGAATTAGCAAACGAATGACCAAATTGGCATTTTCCTCCACACTTTCACCTAGAATGACGTAATATTGAAAATAAATAGGAAGTTTTTAATATTAGCCCGCGATACACAAGATATATATATATATATATATATAATAACAATTGTATATATACATATATTTGATATTAGTTTGAGACAAAAGAGAGAATTAAAGGATAAAAAATTTACCATTGACCCACACACAGAATCTCAAGAAATCAAGATATCGTTCACCCTCAACAGGATCCCAGCCCAAGTCAGGATAGCCTTTTTCCACCAATTCTGAGTTAGACTGCAAACCGCATCGCGACAGATAAATAGCGATCTTCTCCAAATAATGTTCTCTCAAGGCTAGAGCTAATTCGGTGTTTTCCATAAGCGAGGAATAAGCCACGTCCAAGGGCGTGGATCCTCGCAGCGACGGTCTAGCCAGTAGAATATTGCTGTTCTCCAGCAAGAAATCAAAATGATCGAACATTGCTTTTTGATTCTGTCTGGATGTGCGACAGAAGTAACAGAGAAATCTGCAGCAGGCCACAACCATCTCGTGAGATGTATCTTTCTCTTTCGAGGCCGGTTCTCCCTCGGCTGCCTGAGCTTGTGTCTGGGCGTCTGATTGCGCCTGGGCGCGTCTTCCCAGTGTGTTCATCATAATGGCCATCACATTCTCGTGAACTCTCAGAACTCTAATAAGATCGGGATGTTGGAAAAACGTGTGATTGTTCACCAACTTCCACAATCTCTCTCGAACCAATTCCTCTTCTTCCTGCGACATCTGCACAGGTAGCAAGGCGCGAATTTGACTCAATCCGATCCACATTAACGCGACATCGTCCTTAGTCTTGTTGTTGACGACGTAGGTTTTCTCCAAAGCTCTGATCAATTCGCCGACATTATCGTACTGTCTGACCAATAAGCTAAACATTTCCCGCACGAGTTTTGGCGTCTCGATTTGAGACTCTTCGGCCCAGCTTACAATGGTCGATATCAGCACTTTGCGGAAAACCTCTAAATTACAAAACAACTTTAAAAGTCTTACCTATTATTATCTACTAATTAGAAAATGTGTAAAGTAAATCGAAGCAAGAACTCACCTTCCGGCGTTTTCTTCGTGGGTTCGGGTTCAGGTTTGGGTTCTTCTTCGAGCTCTTTGACGGCGTTGATAAAGTTGAAGAGCCGCTTCATAGCACCGGGTTTCTGAACCTCTTCGGGTGACTCGTTAGCAGCATTGTCTGCTTCTTGAAGAGCAGTCAGAGACACGTAGGACATCAGCTCGCCGTGAAACTCGTTCATCTTTACGATCAAATCTTCTCCGCAAGGAGTATTCTCCGGATCCTCTTCGCAGTCGAAATTCTTGAAGCTCAGAATGGCGTTCATCTGCTCCCGCGGAGGACATCTGAATTCTCTGGTCTTTTTGGCAGCGATGGCCGACGGTAAATCCGACTGCTTGATCTCGATGTAACGTCGTAACTGATCGGCCTGCAAGTCCCCGACAAAATCGGAAGCGAAGGCGATGATAGATTCGACACGATGACGCAACTGAATGTCGTTCAGATGATGAAGCAGATAGCACATTTGTAGTTTCGCTCCCTCGGCCATTTTCATGTGTAACAAACCTTTCCGATGCTCGTCTTTCCCTTCTAAAACAATGTAAAAATTGTCATTATTACAAATATTATATGTAATTATATTATATTATATTATATATATATATATAAAGTAACACGAAGAAAAGAGAGAAATTATATCATCATACGTTTTATATCGATATCAATCAAGAAATTCTTCGATAATAACATTTTAACGGTCTTTCTCACCTTTGTCGAAAGTCGGATCCCAAGTTTCGGGATTTATCATGATGAGCAACTTGGATATATCCTCGTTACTGAGCAAGCCTACCAGGAGCAGCCTGTCTACCAACTTTAAGAGCGGTCTGTAAATGACGATAAATTTAATATCAAGAAACATTCGATCGTTAGATGAGCGCCGTAAGCGGTGCAAGCAGAAAATTAGAAATTCATTCATTTAGAAATTCCTGTTTCGTCCCTTGCCCTTATCACTTTTATCGGATTTGCCCGGAAAATCGCCCGACCAATTGTGTGCGTCACTATTGCAATTCACAGTCCAATTGTGATAGAGGCGTTAAAACAGGGCAAAGGAAGATTTTTCAAAGAAGAAAGAAAGAGAGTAAAATAAAAATATTATGTTCGAAGATAAACGACGTTTCCATTGACGAAGAACAGAGTTACATCAGCGGCAGCACGCGCAGCATCAGTCAGATTTATCGTTTTTACATACAGAAAGAGATTCTCGTTGCTGCCTCCGATCGGATCTCGATTGTGCACTTGATTCACCTCGACGGCTTCGTTGAGCGCCATCATCACGTAATCCCGCACAACGTCGAGCGGGAAATGCGGGCTGTACAGGCTCCGTATGTTCTCGATCGCTTGGTCGCTAGAAGGAACATCCCTTGATGGCGACTGATTAGTAGGGATCTCTCATCTACTTGGAGAGGGAAAGTTTTACCTACCTGATTTCCGTCATCTTCATCTGCGGCCGAATGGACTCGGTCTCCAAGTATCTAAGACTGTGTCTCATCTCGGAATCCTCGTAAAGGTCCTTTAATTCCTGACCTAAAAAAAAAAAAAAAAAAGAAAAACAGAAAAATTTTGTGAAAACATCGAGAACAACGTTTGTCTTCAGATTCCGTCTTCGAAAAATATCAAACGAAGTCTTACCGAGCGGTATTATGTACTCGTTCTTGCACACTTCCATCGTCGTCGCATGCGACTCGAGATGCAAGGCGATGAGCAAATCGTAAAATCCTTGTCGCAGAGGTCCGGACATGTACTCGGATCGTATCGCGTACAACAATTGTTTTTGATCAACATGTTGGCAGAGAGCGTGGGCCGCTCGGTAATTCGACTGATAGCACAGAGCTGCGTACAATGTTAACGTGTGCGCGTGGAAACTGCATATATGAAACAAAAATAAAAAGCCAAAAGAAGACGAGGTAGATTTTATTTAGAAGAAGAAAAGAAAAAATCTGTGCGAATCGAGAAATGTGTAAACAAATTCTACTAGCTTCTTGATTGAAAATTTTTACCTGAGCAGCTTGTCCATTTCGATGAGCTCCAGAATATCGATGCATCTGTCCTCCTCGGGTATGTGAAGAGCCAGCATCGAGATCGCGTCTTCGCACAGCATTGACCAACCTCTGATGTCGGAAAGTTTAAGCGCGTGCACTTGAAGCGACTGATTCGGAACTCTGGCCCACTGATGCGGTTTCAGACACTGCACCTTCAATCTGGGTGGGAATTGCGGTATCACGTGTCGTTCGGAATTCTGCAGCACGGCGGCCGAGAGCGGGAGCGTCGTCGAGGTTCTGCCGAGTTCGATCTGGAGAATCTCCTTGCTGGTGGCCTCGACGAAGATCGCCGGGAACAGCTTCGTGTCCGGCTCCATCTTGAACTTGTGACTTGTTTCCTTTCCCTCGCAAGTAAAGGACACCCAGCCCGTGGCGGTGTCCACGAAGCAACCAACGAACATACCCTGAGACGCGCCCTTGCCCGACGCGTCCTGAGTGACCTCGTTGTACAATTCGTCCGCTCGAACCATGTAACAACTTTGTCTGTCGACTCTGTAATGTTGCGATGTCGTTGGTTCTTTGTTTCTTTGCATATTTTACATTTCGTTCTCTTAACGCCAGAACAACCGGGGTTGAATGTACAATATAGTTTTTATCACGTTCGTCAATTTGACGGATGTGTGAAAAAACGTTAAAAAATTTTATTTAATATTTTCGTCATTATTTTTAATTTTTTTAAAATAATTAACAACGAAAAGTTTCTGCAGCTACAAAGATTTTTGATATTTCACGCTTGTGTGTTTTTATTGTTGAAGTAAAACTACCACTTAAAACATTTTTTTTAATTTAAAGTAAGAAATCTGGAATCTCCCGTCATTTTGACGTTTGATTGTTCTAGTGTTATGATACGAATTGCGCGCGCGTGATGGAAACATATTTAAACGTACTGTTCCATGAGACGATCGTATTCGTCGATAATGGCGACGGAAGCTTTTCTCACGCGGGACAGATTGAAGTCCTTCGTATGGAAATGATACTGCGACGTGACCCAGCCGACGTAAACGTGAGTCGGGTCCTGGCCGGGAAATATCCTCACGCCGTAGAAATATTCGTTCATCATTTTCATGCACTCGGCGTCGAAAATTTCATTACCGATCGCTTCGACGCCACTTCCGGTCAAAACGGACATTGCTTTCGGCATATTACGCTCGGGAATTTGAGGTGGCACGACTTTCAAATCCGTCTACAAGAGAGAAAAGAGAGAGAGAGAGAAACAGAGAAAGAAATGTGTATAAAATTATTTTTTTACGAAATTCTTAAAATACTATTACGTACATGCGCGTGCAAACGCAGAAATTCGATCGAGTAAAAATTAATTTATAAACTTTTCACAAAGTGTTCGTCGAAATAAGAAAAACTTTTCAGAAATATTTTTTAATCCGGATATCTACTATCTATTTACGCATATGTACACTCACAGTTGAAACACGAACTTGAGGAGTTTTGGCACTTTTGCCACCTAACATACTTTTGTCCGAAACGTCCGAGCGAACTTGCGGTTCGGGTGTTTTTGCTTTGGCTTCCGGCGACTTCGTTTTTCGGGAGAAAAATCTGCAAATGAGAGATAAGAGCCAATTGATTGAGCTCGTCAATTAAAATCGTTAACCAATCGAAGCATTACTGAATTGCCACATAAAATAAAGATGAAAGAGAGAAGAATAGGTTTGTTGATTTATCAAATATCACAAAAAAAAAAAAAAGAAGAAAAGATGTAAGAGCAGTTCTAACTGGTTCTAAGGATCGCTCTTAGAATAAAAAATTCAATATGTTACATTTCATATTTTACATATGCGAAAATCAACTCACGGTACATCCTCCATTTCTTTGCTAAGCTTGCTAACAAAGTTAAGATATCGTAGTTTGATTTGCAAATATTCGCAGCAACATCAACAGCATTACCTCGATATTAACAAATAATAATAACAATAATATTTTCCAAAAAGCCAAAACAGAAGCCAACAGGTTGTAAAATCGGCTCGAGTGACGCTCTTAATTGTTTTTTTTTTTTTTTTTGTTTTTGTTTTGTGCCTCCGAGCGACCGAGATAGCTTTTATCAAGAAATTAACGACTCTATTTCTTTTGTTATTAGCGAATTTTCGGACCAAAAGTTTTGCTAGTATCGAGGTAGCGTGTCTTGTAAAAATAATATAATTGAAGCTTACCGGAAAGGCGAGCGACCGCGTTTCTTCTTGTCGTCCTTTATATCGCCATTCATCTCGCCGTATCCATTCATTTCAGCGTCGCTAATAGCATTATCTAAATTACGCGATCCGTAAAGAGAATTTTTTCTAGGCGGTCTCGCAGGTTTGCCTCTTTGCATAGGAAGTGGCGACTCCTTCATCATCTCGTCCACCTCGGCCGCATCTTCCGAGTAATTTCTTTGCAATCCTGTTTTTATTTTACATTGCGAAACATCACACAGAGATAAGATAAATCAATAAAAATTGAATTCTTTGTGACTGACATTAACGCGAAAAATAAATCGTCAATTAGGTTTGACGGTTTTTTTTATTTTACCTTTGATATCGCTCATACTGAAACCGGACTTTATGATCTGTTCCAAATGAGCCGACGGCGCGGCTTGCTGCGCTTGTTCAACCTGCTCGGCGAGAAGTCGGTTTTGTCGCATTTTGATGTCCTGCCACCTTCGTAGCTTTTCACCTTCCGTTACAAACGTAGATTGACAAATCACGGGTAGCGACAATCGGAGAAATTCCCAATTAGCTTTCTCCATGGTCTCGAACGTGTTGTGAGAAATTTTTAGACACGGAGGCGTGTCGGAACCGGCCGGTATTCTTGCCACATCGATTCGCGTATCGGCCATGTCGTCGGTGTTTTCGAATATTGGCTGATCTTTCGTGTACCAATATGTAACCGGACGATTCATGTTTCTACGATACGTGCAATTTATTTATTGTGACTATGCGATATTGTGACGTAAATTCTTTAATTAATTCTTATAATTAAAGAAATTAACTCACACGCAGAATGGTTCATAGCCTTCTTGCAAACCGCACGTGGTGAAGAACTTTAGAGTGTTTACATCCTGACCGAATGTCAATTTCGCCTTTTGACCGACTCCAAGAGTGAACGCCGGTACGAATGAGTCTCCTTGCACGTCGGCGAAAGAAGTTTCACCGCCGAGCGCGTCCATGAGCAGTTCTCCATTCAGGGAGAAACCTGCACAAATCCCACATTTGTAGAAACGCGACGTGCTCAAACATCGAAAAGAGTCGAAACAAATAGTTGACAATAGGATGAGCAATAATACACCAAAAAAAAAAAACATGTAAGAAAATTTTGTTTAAATATCAGGTAGAACAAAAATAATTGTCTATCGGACAACTTTGTCGACTGATACTCCGTCTGATATTTGTTTCGACTTGCAAAAACAGAACGAAAAAATTCTACGTCAAGCAACCATACACATAAAGCGATACATAATACACATGTTACAAACAATAATTTGTGAGTGCCAAATGTTACACGATAAATAATAACATAGATTTTTTACTTACGATAATTCGTACAAATTATTGTAAGTAATTCAAAAACAATGAGAAACACACATTCGTACTGGAATTTTTAAACTTTTTTCAAGCACTTCTTCTTTTTTTTTTCTAGTTGTAAAAAAAAATACATTGAAATGTTTCCAATAATTGAAAGCATAAAATTACAGCAAAGCAGATGCTGGAATAAAATCGACCAAGTGAATAGAGTCAAACAAGCTTATATTTTTTGTTTCTTTTTTTATCTAATTGCACAGTTAGTTGAATGTTAAAACAAGGCGATAAAGCATTTCTGTATCTTGATTTTATTCACATACGTGACCTATTAACATAAATTCAGATAATACGCATGCAAGCGGCGTCACTCTTGAAGAAGCTTTGCCAACAACCCCAAAAAAAAAATATATATATATATATACATATATATGTAACGGTATCACATAGCAATTATACATCTTTTACGATAACAAAAAATAAAATAAAATATTTATTAATACTTAACCGGGATACAAAGAGAGAAGAAAAATTATAAGAACACAAGAACACATCGGATTTCATCTGGGAAATTTTGTTCGACTGTACGTTTTCAAATATATTTCGTGAAATGTGATATAATTTTCATGTCTACGATGAGTGTATGTAATTTTGTACACTAGTAACTTGATGCAGGTATACAACGACTATGTGAAGATATTTAATTCGGGAATTGTTTCTGATTACACAAGTGATCGATTGGAGGCACTCGGGTAGTTAATGATCGTTAGTAGTTGTGAATTATATGGAGAAGCACCGTATATAATCATAATCGTATACAACAGAGTTTTCCACTTCTCAAGTTCTTGAACCGACTCTCGTTACTTAAGATCATTCGGTTTTCAAGTTCTTCTCTCCTCGTGTTATTTACTCCCATTAAACTTGCAAATTGATCACACGCAGAACGAACACTGCGGTCGATATTCACAATCAAATCTCATATTTAACATCGTCTCAAGTTCCTCTTTAGATGCTTTGTACCAATAAAAAACGGTTCACCGTTTTAAGATGAACTTAGAGACGCGTATCGAGCGAAGCGAAATTATATTAAGAACGAAACTCGAGAATTGAGATGAATAATTGAATTCCCGATCACTTGAGAAGTGGACGAACTCCGCTACGTAAACACTGAATAGAGTACTGGAAAAGACACGGGAAAAGACATTGGGGAGACGTGATTTTCGATTTGATGACTGCCGATGACAGAAACCAGGACTGTCTCTGGTTTTGCAGTTATAAATCCAATACGTTAAGATGACAGTGCGGCAAGATGAAATAATTTTTGTGCAACATTATAGAAAAAAACGCATGATCGATCGTTTCCGTCATAACGGAGTTTTACTTTTCGTGTAATCTTAAGCACATTGATGTTTATTTTCAAAGTGCTTGGCGCGAAAAGTGTGTGCTTGCTCCGAACTTTCGCAGATAGAGAATGATTCTATCTAATTACAGCTTATGACCATGTTTTTTCTATTAAATGTTTGTTTTAATTTTATATGTTTTTTTTCTCAGTGATATCTGATAAACCATGTATAATTGTTTATTTTGTATATTTCTACATTTCTATATTTTATGCTATTACTGTCATATATGTGTTATGTATGTCTTTCTATATCTCTACTTTAAAAACATTTTCACAATGACAAAAAAAAAGAGTAAAATTAATTAATCTGGAACGTAAATCTTCAAAAACGCAAATATGAACAAGATTGTGTTAAAAATCGCATATAGGGTGCGGTGGGGTGTGTCTGTATCCAGTAATCTATCTTCAGATCTCAAATTATAGCTTGAAATGGCAGCTGAAAGCGTTTCGCTTAAAAATTCCGTCTTACTAATCGTTCGGTCAATTAGATCCAGGAAAACACCGACAACGTCTCCGATTTGCCACTGTTTGCCGAACGTCTCGGCCGTGCCCGAGTAAACTTTTTCCTCCTTTAAAACAAAATATTCACTGGTTCAACACTTCTAATATTCGTGAAGAATTCGGAAACAGATTGTTCGGCAATTGGAATACATTACTTTTGGCCACGGCTCTGGGTCTCAGATATCTCTTCTTTAAAAAAAAAAAAAAATTTGTTCTTGCTATTAATATAATTAATGTGTATATGTACATTTTCGTGCGAGATTACAATTTTTGTTTTTTTTTTTTTGCACATTACACAAATGAAAAAATTTCGCGAATTACCCTGATCATCGATGAGAGTCAAAGCCACACGTCGCCGAATGAAATTTCACCAGCGATTTTATTCGTCTGGGACACAAAGGATGCAAGAAATATAAAACCAAATCAACACGAAAGAAACATATAAAAGAGCGACAGACAAAGACAACAATAGTGACGAGAAAACTCAGAAAAAGAAAAATGTGTGTATACAGTGGGGGGAGCCTCTAAGACCGGCTTGTTCGGAAAATGGGACTCTTACTGATCGTTCGGTCTGCCACGTCAATGAAACATCCAACTATGTCGCCCACTTGATATTTGTGACCAAACGACTCGTGAGTTCCAGCATGTATTTTGGTCACCTGATATTTACGTTGTTTTTTATAGATTATTCGCATTTCACATATTACGAGCCACGTTATGTTAACACCATAAAAAAGTTATCAATATGTATAAGGTGAGCAGTGTCTCATGAGCTCTAAGATCTAATCATATCAAATTCTTACCTTTTCGTGAGTGACGAACCATTAAATCTCAAATATTTAGTCTTGTGTGTCAATACAATAAAAAATGTAACATATTGCGTGTATGTGTGTGCGATATCTTTAAATTTTTGCACTTTTTGTCTTTGTAATTTTTTAAATTCTATAATTAACAAATTTTTAATTGCAAAAATAATACGAGACAATGTCAATGTTACTTACGTTGTAACCGTCAAACGCCCACGTATTCTCGTCGCTACCCAGCATACTTCCCGGCGTGCAATCAGCTTTCGCCCAACCAACGCGCATCGGTCCGGCTGTGAGAACCTCGAACTCGAAATACCATTTTCCGCTAGTGACCGCGTAATGTTTCTCGACCCTGTAAGTCCTGAAGGATAATTGTCGTAACCTGCTGGCCTCCAAAAGCAATGCTACAAATACCAAAAAAAAAATAAAAAACATTATTAATATGCGTAAAAGTGAGATCCCAAAAGACCCAACAACATATCCTCAAAAATCAAAATGTTGCCTCGAATCGTTTCAATGCGAAGCATTAAACATTAAATGTCGAGAAATTAAAAACAAATTAGAAAAATAATTAGGTAATTATATACAAATCATAAATTTTAGTTATTATTGACAAAAATATTTTTCAATTAAATGTATAAAGCAAGTAAAATCGTTGTCCACGATTTGTGATAAAAATAAGCGGTGAGATCGTCTATTTATAACAGATATAACAAGAGTAAAATTTTTATTTATGTCGCTTACCCTCGTGCTGTTCTCCGGTGGGTGGATCAAGCATGTATCCATAAACCAATAGCGTTCTGACAGTTTCGCTGGCTGTATCCCGATTAGCTTTTTTGATAGCGTCGTCGACTTTCGGATAGGGTACTAAATGAGGACTTCTTCTCATTTCCGAATCTTCGTTCAAACCGTACGTCCATCCTTGGCTGATTCTCTCCTTTGCCCAGAGATTATGCGTGTTCTCCGCGAGTTGATCAACGAGCTCCTCCATCTTGGGAGTTAACGTGATCGCGGACAGATCGAGCGGAGCTGGTTTGTATCCGCTGCTTTGCAAAAACGGCTCGTTCGGCAACCGCAGAGTCTTTATTCTGGACGGTGGCTTGTCCATCGTGATGTAATAACCCAGAGCCAAAATGGTCTTCAGAGTCTGCACGGCCAGTTGAGTGTCGTAGCGTTTCTCCGCAGCCGGTAGTCGCTCGAACTGAACTATACAAGGATGTATCTTTCTAAGATCATCTCTGACTTCTCCATAAATCCAACCAGCTTCGATCTTGTTCATTGCCCACATCTCGTGAATGTTCTCCGCCAGCTTGTCTCTGATCTGTTCGACGTACGCGGGCAGATTGACCATAGAAGTGTCGACCGGGGCTGGAACAAAGGCAGTGTCGTCCTCTACAAGCCAAGGACCTGCCAAGACCACTTTGTTCATGTTGCCGAAGTAGAAACACGGATCCAGCGAAAGAATCTGCTGCGGCAGCAGACTCTCCACCAACGGCGAGAATTCTTCCGGCGGAAGAAACTTCAGTCTGCCGTGATCGCCGCCCAGTAAAAATCTACACGACAGCTTGGACGAACAGCTGATTGCGGGAAAAAACATGCCGTCTAGATTAAAGTTTCGAAATGAGCCCATGATGCGAGTACCGTTGAACGTGAACGTTATCACGGGCACCGTCAGATCCAAGGCGCAGCCGATCACGTCGCTTTTTCTGATGAAAGGTTCGGTGGTGTTCTGAACGACTTGGGTCTTTCTGCCACCTGTCCATAGATAAGCGCCGTCGAATCCGAACGAGTACAAGTCATCACCGACACCGTTTCCACCCCATTTCTCGCCACCACCGGGATAAGGCATGTAGCTGTTCGCAAAATAGTTGTAAAATCAATCTCTTTTCTCTCTCTTTGTCTCTCTCTCTTGACATTTCTCGAAAAATTCAAAATTAAATTTTATTACAGAAGTGTCAAAAGAACGAGTTCAACAGGTAAAAAATTTTTTATCAATATTTTTTGACGCTTTAAATATATAAAAAAAAAAGTTGTAAAAAATCTGTCTTATAACAAAATTTACCCGGCGGTATTCGCCCAGCCGATCCTAAGATGCGGCATCATGTGAGTCGTCTGTTCAATGTGATCTACGGTTACTTCGAAGTACCACTTTTGATAAAGAGCTGAACCCTCCACTCTGCCAACAAATATATTTGGTCTGACGCTGGCCACGTGGTCCACCAATTGCGTCTGGAGAAGTAGATTTTTCCCAGGCAGCAAAAAGTCGCAAATGTTATTCTGCGAAGAACGCACCGCGACGCCATTACCGACGCATAATGAACATAAAACGTCCAGAACCTTTGGATCCCTGCCATGTTTCTCGAGCAGAGAGATTATCACTTTTATGTGCTCGTCCTGAAAAATAGAATTTAAATTTCTCTTTCACTGTATTAGAATTTTTACATTCGTACAAAGATCGTTATCGTTCGCGCGGATCATTTTTGATTAATTTCCATTGGAAAATGTGATATGTACCCTCATCATGTTCAAGGCTTCCGGCGAATCAATTAAAACGCAATGAAGCACATCCAACATTCCGGTTCCCTCGCTGGAAGCCTGTGAACCCAATCGGCTGAACAGCCAATTAAGACGATTGCTGTTAGCGAACTGAGCGCAGTTGGTGTGATTGCCTTTGATAATGGCCGCTAGAAGTTGATACAGATATCCGGATATCTGATCCCAGGCCTGGCCGCTCTCGTCGCCGGAAAGAGCGACGAGAAATCCTTGCGAAGTGATGACGTTAATTTTGTCGATAGCTTCAAGGATAAGATTCAATATACCCTCTTCTTGAAACAGATCCTGACGATTTCTCAGAGCTCGGAATTTGTTCTGCTTCTCTTCGTGTTCTGGAGAAATTAACGATTCGCATTTTTGAAATCGAAACATTTTTACGATTCTTTTTAAAAAGTTTTCATATCTATTTTTTTTTTTTTTTTCCTACCCATGTCGTCTTCGGGTTGAGCGAAGTAATTGATCAAGTCCTCGAGGCACATTACCATCTCATTGAGATTTACGTTTTGAAAAAACATGGACGCTCTTCTGTCCACTTGAAGCGTTTCTAGGCCTCTAAAAGACGTTCAATATTTTTAGCGATTCAGTTTTGTTAGATCTGTGTATATTTTCCTTTGAATCGGTACATGTTTAAATAACTTTTTATAATATATTTTTTAATTACTTACGTGATAAACTGTGTAAACAAACTGCTGCACTTTCTGATGACTCGAGCAGTGCGAGATTCTTCTTCCTGAGACCTGGAGAAATCCAGACCGTCGTCCATCTTACCTTCTTCGTGAAGCACCGCTTGTTTTTCTTCGACTTTTCCGACGCCTTTCTTCTTTGTCTCGTATGACTAAGAAAATAATCACGTAAATAATTATTACAATATTTAACGCGAGAAAATTATTTCAGTTTAATCAAATGTAATCGTTGATTAAATTTTTTTAAATAAATTCAAACCGATATGATTCTCTCAGTTTAAATTTATTTAAACCGAAATGTATATCAAATATTTAATTTAAATTTATTTCTCTATAGTCTTGTACCTTATAAGACACCCAAAGACACGTAGTGGCATGTTGCATTATAACGGTGGAGTCGCCGTACTTGATAATTGGCATTCCGATGACTTCCAGATCTTTATCTTCGAGAACAATCTTTTGATCGTCCTTTTCTTGTCGCAGCCAAAACGTCGAGGTTTCGATCGTCGCTTCGTTCCTTCGAAGAAAGAGGATAATCGCGAATTTAGGAAATATATTATCACATGAGCTTTTTTTTTTTTTTTTTATAAGGATCACCATGACCCTTGAACTTTACTAAAAATAAATATGAACCTATCGACCAGATAGAGCTCGTTGTTCTCCTTCACGCCGAGATAACGTCCGGTCGTCAAATGTCTGATTCTCATGGGATGGAGCCAGTTGATAAAACCACCCGCCCATTTCGTCCTGGCGAGTTCTAATCTCCACAGTGATCTCGCCTGGCTCATCACGCTACCGCCTTCGTATATTACAAGACTGGAGAATAACAAACAAAATTCTTACAAGAAGGAACGCACTTTTCTCATCTCGAGAAGATTTTTGGGGACAATTTTTACGATCAATATAATATAAATATTATAAATAATCAATAATATGCATGTTAATCTTTTTAAATTCTTCAAAAAAATCTTGGCTACACACTAATTAGAAGACAAACAATCACTTTTGAGTAGGATCCGGGCTCCAATTCGAAGGTATCGTCAAACACTCGTCGCCGCCGTGGAAGAACCTCAACACATCACCCCCGAAAACGTAACCGACGTACTTCATTCTGCTGATACCCGTACCGTAAGGCTGTACCGACCAATGTGTCACATGGAATGATGCGTTGACCACCGACAGATCGTTTTCTTTCGTCGTATGCTGAACAAAAAAAAAAGAAAGAGATTTCTTATGTATTTCTTGTTTCGCGCAAATCGTCTCTTCGTCAAGTGTATGTGTTCGTGACTTACCAAATATCGCTCGGTAGCGACGGACACCAGGATAAGATCGTCACCCACGCGCACCTTCTCACCTTCCGATCTCTGTTTGGAGGCTGGATGCACGGTCCACCAACATGCCTCACCTGCAAGAACGATGTTGCTTGAAGAAATCAATTCGACGAATTACGACGTTCCGTTCGTGAAATACTTCTTGAAGAAATTTCCAGTAAAGCAACTTTAGATTCAATTTTAATTGTTTTTTTTTTTTACTAATTTTTGTTAGAAGTTATATGTGACAAAGAGCAATATTTCTCAGTGAAAAGAGACGATAGTAATATAAAATTTGCGAATTGGAGAGAAAAAAAAAGCGTTGCACCAACCTTGAGAATGTTGCTGCAGACCGACATCGAAGGCTAACTTGTCGTTCGACGAACTCGTGGACAGGCACGCCAAATACTACGGTAACAGAGTCGCGCATACATGAATGCAATGTAATTGTAAAGTGAAATTTAATCAACAAACACATATAGTATAGTAGCGGATATTTTATGATAAGAAAAAAATGACGTATATATACCATGTCGCTATTTAGATGTCGCAGTAATATGGCGTTACCGTACAACAAAGTTCTGTGGCCTGACCCGGTGCCCTTTCCCTGAAAGCAGGATTAATCAAGACCTCGGCTAACTCTTCGGCAGTCTTTACAATATATTTTTTATCTACATATATCTCTCGCGCGAGATATTTAATATCTCGCGAAAAATTAATACTTTCTTAAACAACATCTACACAAGCGTACTGATAAGAGAAGGCCATAAATGCTGAATATTACGTCAAACTACAAAGCAAGAAGATTTTGGCTTTTATATATATATATATGTAACGTCGACAGTTAGTGTATTAAAAAGCCAAACGTAAGAAAAGAGTTATTGGCTCCAATGTATATGTGTAGTGTTAATTTTGATTAATCAAAGGTTTTAGCGTGAATCGTTTCTTAATCGATCGATGTGGGTGAACGAACACGAATTCGCAATCGTGTCAAACCAATTTGTAAAATTATAAAAAAATTAATCTGGAAGATTTACCAGAGAATGATTTTTACGAAAGTTTATTAGATAAAAACTTATTTTTTTGAATTATTAAAAATTAAATAAAATTTGAATTATTAAGAATGATCAAAAGTGTTTATACTTTAGAGAAATAATCGCGAGTCAAGTGTGAAAACTGGACTCGCATTTGATTTCTGTTCCAAAAGTTTGCGCTGAATATGTGCGATTTTATTGTACAATGTTAGACCGATGCAACTTGAAATCACGTTTGAGCTATAGCGCTAAATACGGCGCTAAATAGAGACGCGAGTATCATATTTCAAAGTTTGACTGAGGCCGCGATATATAAACGGCTTAGTATTTCCACCCAAGCTCGATCGAATATTATGACGTTCCAAACACACAGACAAGTGATCGTTGTTTTACCCAAGAATGGCGCTCCGCAGAAACACGATACGTAAATTATACTTACTAAACTGTCTTGCTGCTGCAAAGAGAAACATAACAGGCAATGAATCTCCTTCATCAAATATCGATCCGGATTTATTGGAAAGAGAAAAGAACAGAGAGAAAAAGAGAGAGAGGAAGAGAAAGAAAGAGAAAACGAAAATGTGTATAATTTAAAAAAACGATATATATGTATCGTATGGATGTTTGTCGAGATGGGTGTCTCGGTTAAGTTTTTTAAATGATAATCTTATATTTTGTTCACGAGGCTAGTGTGTTTTGATGAGCGAAATCACAAGTGAAAATATAAAGAACAAATCAAAAAATGAACGAGAAGAAAAAATGGGAAAATTGTCTTATGTACGGCTACATGGATACATGCCACAATCATACGGACAAGGGGGTGGTGCAATGGCGGGGGGGTTGCGTGCGAAAATGCATTGAAGATAAGCTAATATTCCGATGTATCAGGAACTCTCTTTGGAAATTATTCGGCAGAGAAAAAACTCGAGCAGGCCTCCGAAGATCCAAAAGACATCTTCAGCTGTCTCGAACAACAACGTCGAAAAATTCTCTGCGATGACTTTTTCGACGTTTTTAAAAAAAATGTCTTTTAGAGACAGCGTCGGGGGATTGCTGTTTCACGTTTTGTATAAAAAAGCACGGGACGCGTTTTTATGGCCTACTCTTATGCAGATCGAGCACGTGTACAAGTATTTAATATCTATTTTTTTTATTGTACATTACGATTAATTTGGAAATGAGTGATAAGAACTTTTAATCGCAACTTAGATGACACTACTCAGAATTAGCGGAATGCATAAGTTAATGCTCAACTACACACTATCGTTCGCGTGTGATCGAGAAGATAACTCTCTTCAAATAAGGGAATTACTAATTTTTTGTTTTTTTTTTTTTGTTTTTACGGCATGTGAAGATGTCGAGTAGAATCTAACAAATATTCCTTGGAGCTACGGGAGTTTCGCTGGCATGGTTGAAGTCGACGAGATACGAGAACCCCTTGTACGAGTGTGTACGAGTTTAGGTAAAAGAACTTTATACGTTACCGTCTCGGAGCCAGCGGCGGTGACCAATTCCTGCAAGGCTCTCACCGAGAGAGCCTGCTCTATCACAAACACGCATTGCGACAGGTCCGGTGGTATGTTCTGAAAAAATATTAGCAATTAAACGTTCGACACACAATGCGAGATAGCAAGGTGTCAGAAATTGTCCGTGGAATTCTCTTTGTTCGTTACCTTGTCCGCGATATTTTCGAGGAAGCAGTGTCGATTGCCAAAACCTTCGGCCGCGAGACATACTCTCTCTCCTGTAGCGGTACAGGACAGACATACCATATCTTCCTGTAAATTTTCAATTAAGTCTTCATGTATTTCGAGAAAAAAAAACAAGAAAAAATTCATTCTCAGATTAAGTCTTTGGATTTTAAATAATTGTTACAAATGGGTTTGGTGTGTGAGGGAGAACCTCAAGGGAGAGAAAACTGGCGTAAGATTTTATTTATATTGCACGTGAGAGACTTTTCAACTATCTTTGCATTGTTCATCTCGCACTTATTACATAATTGCCATCCTGAACTTTAATTTTTGCTAAGTTGTAATACAATTTTTTAAATTTATTCTCTCTCTTCTCTCCTTTAAATATTTTACAAATTCAAAATGATTTCCGTTGATTTACAGACACACGGTTTCTAAATTAACACGGAGAATATTCGGCGCGAATTTCCGCTCGTCACGTATTCTATGTCGCAGTGCCGCAATAGTGCGCAATATCGCCAAACGATTTTGCAATCTGCGCAACAGATGGCTCGCGGGGCAAGTTTTCTAAGTTGCGATTTGCATAATGAAAATTTGTGACCGAACGAAAATAAGAATCCGTCGAAATATCGGCTAACGTGGCATAATCGTCGATCTGTCGATTGTGTTTTGGGAAAATGTTCTCGTGTTTTTTTTTTTTTTTTTCAATGACGGAATTTTGCGAAATTTTGCGTGAATTATGTTGCGAGCCGAACGACAGAAATGCGGCCGTCGTGCCAAAACCAATTTGGACGACCTCAAAAATACACGAAGACCAAGTACATAAGTATGCCGATTTTCGAGTGAGCTAATCTTTGGACACGCCACATAGCGTGGTGGGAAAATAGTATTTGTGTTGCATCGCTTGTAATAAAATGTTATTTAACTCGTAATCTCGCGCTATACAAGAAACTCATCGAGTGTGAGTCACACGATGTGCGTCGCTCGATTTTAATTCTTGACAGATGACAAAATCTCTTTCTATTTACTCATTCGTTATTTGCAGATTCAAAGATGTCGACTCGCTTTTTTATATTTTTCAAACAACATTCTCAATTCCGTTCAATGATTCCACTTTTTTTTGTACTTGAGAGATCGCGCGGTATTGTTTGACAAAAAGTCACATGTACGCACCAACGTGTCCTTCAATCGCAGAAAACTTTAAAATAGAAATATTGAAGATAAAGAGAAAAAAAGAGAAAGTCAATTGCAATTCGTGAAAGTTGTGTGAACGACTATAGAAACTGAAACCGAGCAAAAAATTGTTTATCCTGTTATTTCTGTAAAACATCTAGATAAAAAAATCCCATTACTCGATCCATCTCTTCTCTCACTCACTCTCTCTCTCTCTCTCTCTCTCTCTCTGGTACACATCTATATATAAATTATGTGCGATGGGTTTGCCGATAATGTCATACTGTGGTCAACAATTTCTAAGCCTAGCTTTAATAGTGTGTGTGGAAGCAAAATTAATTTACGATAACCGCAATCTATTCCGAAAACACAATTTTGCACCTCAAGCTACGCACGAATCAACCTAATAATCATTAAATAACCGATCGTTGTTGTTAAAAAAAAAAAGAGCGGAAATATAAATCTTCACGCGCACTCGTTGAAAGAGGAAGATTCTCTATTGAGGAGACGGTATTTAAATTCAAATTACGGGGTGTAAAACATTGAGCTATTATTAGACTAATAAAACAAAATATGCCGTAAAAATTATTACTCTACAACATATCATAACAAATAAGTACCTGAATATTGTTAATATCTTGTTGACTTTGTGGTTTACAAATGTAACTCGAATTTTTGAAATATCTTCCAATTGCAACGATAATTAGTGCTGTTTATTTGCAATCAGGAATGTGGCAACAACAACATAATCAAGACAATCATTCGATTATAGAGTTTAATTGAAATCGATGACGCAGCTCGGGTCGCAACGAAGCCACCATTCGTACGAATAAAACGTTCATTAGTGCACTAACTAGTGTTTGTTTATTCGCAATCAAAAATGTGATAACAACTTAATCAAGGCGATCATTCGATTACAGAGTTTAATTGAAATCGACGATATATGGTGGATTCGGATTGCATTTCGCGCGAAAACAAAATTACCATTTGTGTACGAATAAAAAAATTATTCAATTCGAAATTACTTTCTTTGAATGAGAAATATTATATACGAATTAAAAAAACAATTTTTGTACGAATGCGTTCCTCGAATATGTAGTTGACGTGTGCGTGCGATACACACTGTGTTTCTTTTTTTTTTTTTTTTTGAAAAGAAACAGTTTTCCCGTTCAAGCGTTCCAAAATTAATATGCAACGAAGAAAGACGCATATATAATATAAACGTAACTGAAAGGACGCATTAACATAACTTCGTGTCTTGGTTTAAACGGAATTGCACGCGATTCCGTCACATACGTGAGCTCGTACATTCTCGCCCGGAGACACGCGAAGTACCGAAGGTTTCCGCGCTGGAAATTTGGCAAGAAATGTTTGTGCAATCTTGTTCATCGAGAGATATAAATAAAGCGCAATCGAGCGATCTGGACGCGAGTGACCTTACGAATCGCCAGCTTTGCCAACTTTCGATAATTATACGAAGACACTATATTCATTCATCAAATTTCTACACATTCCGCGAGTTCTTTCTTCGTGCGATTCGGAAACTAAAGAAAATATAGTATTGTTAGGTTTTTTTTAAATAAATTATAAACGGAGTAATATTCCTCTCACTCTAATGTTAGCTCTTCAATAATTTACAGTGTTTTTTTTCTAAAATTTCTCAGGTATCGATTGACTTGAATCTCTAATCCGACGAAAATAGAAAATCGAAGATAACGTAAGAATGTAATTGGATGTTCAGCGAACAAACGTGCGACGCGCGTACATTGATAATGAACCGGTGACTTCCGACGTCCGACAACCGATCGAAGCTACCTATCACGGTATAGGTCAAGGATATACCTGCGTTTTATACGAGCAGATAATCTCTATGTTTCTATCTAAACTAGCAGACGTCATAAATCATCTTGACTATTTACGTACGTTGGATTTATTTGCTCGGTTATGCGCGGAATTCGAAACTTGTCGCTTGCAGTTCGTTTGACAGAATAAAAAAATATACATTTGATACAAAAAGAAGAATGCAATTTCGAAATTTATGAAAATTCTTACAAACGTCAGTTTTTTTCTCGTTTAATTTGTAAGAAAAAATTAGTAATTCTTTATAACTCCGCAATTTTTTTATCATAAATGTCAGTCATGTGTGCGTATAAGTGTATGTGTGTGTGTGTAGCGAAGTATTCAATAAATATAGAAAAATAAGCTTTGTGTGACGTCTCGTGGCATCACTTGAGCTTGAAGAGGATTAAAAAGGATTAAAAAGTTGTTGATGTACAACGTGCTTTCGTGCGTGCATTATATACCTGTCGTTTGTTGTTCAATATTTGCTGCATCCACACACACGAAGTATCGTAATGAAGTAATTATAAATTTATCATTTTTTGATGTGCTATAAAAGGTACGCGAAGCCATGTTGATTAGACGAAATAGAGAGAGAGAGAGAGCGAGCGAGTTGCGCTCATCAAACATTAAAAAATCAATCAAAAATCAATATTTTTCTTGTTTAAAATATTCTTGAAAATAAATGAACATTTATTATAAAGAAAAATATTAAAAAAAAAAAATATTGATTTCGTGTCAATGATAACTGGAAGAACGCGGGTCAGTCGGTCAGTTGGTCTTATTATACGAAACCAATGAATTGCAATGCTGACGTAATCGATAGGCTTGCAATCGACTATTCTCGCGAGCGTGCGAAGTGAGAGAGATATTGAAGTTCGTTAAACTTCAGATGTTTTCGTACGAACGAAATTTCTTTTCGACGCGAGTCGAAATTATCAAGTGAGAAATTGTGTCAGAAAAACGAAAGAAGATGGGCGATCAAAACACTTACGGAGGCGCGTCCGAGGGAGGCAGGTGAGCGACAGTCCGCGCGTTCTGTGTTGTCCCAAACAACGCCCGTAATAATAATTCATTTCCCAGAGAGAAGGTAGCCTGTCAACTGAGCGCGTAATTCTTTTTTTATAAAAAACGGCATCTCTCCTGACACTGTGCCCGTCCGATTTCACGTGACACATTTTATCGCGACGCGAATCTCTATCTCGAAGATCTCCCGCACACTTTGCACGCGATTTATCCACATTGTTTCAGCAAGAAACACGAAAACTCGTTCAACACGGGAGAACTTGACAGTCGTGACCGCGCGTCGACGAACGAAATTAACGCCGTTCAACGTCACGCTCGACGTTCTTTCTTTTCTCACGTATTCCGTAGTCGGTAAATTTTTCCATAAATTGGTGGAACATTAATTTTGCTTCTCGCAAGTTGCTGAGAGTTTTTCGAAGAAAAGTCGGAGAATCCGCGGGAATCGCGATAGTCGTTGATCGCTTCGACTTCGATTGTCCGCGCGCAACAGAGAAATTGTGTAAACGCGTGAAACGTATTGTTGTCACTAAGGGTGTGTGCGTTTTTTGAATATCATCTTGAAAGGAGAAAGAATTGTTTTTTTTTTAAATGTCAACTGTAATTTACGCAAAAACTCTCGTGATAATAAGACATATGCAGTATCAGATATATCGGCCGAAAACTCTTGTCACAGACACGTGGTTGAGGAAACGGGCAAAGAGTTAGGCGAGCCCATGGAAGAGGATGACAAGACACGAGAAGATCGTCGCAGACGAAGAGACGGGAGACGAGGAGGATGCGATTGCGTAACGAGGAGAAGAGGAGTTCGACGAAAGATTATTTCGCAGAATCCTTTTATCATCTTCTTTCTCGAGATGTACTACAGGACGCCCGACAAACATGTGACCGATGTGGCTCGCGAAGCCGGCAAGGCGTGGCGCGCCTTGTCCATAGAAGAAAAGAAAAAGTACATACTTCTGGCGGAAAGGGAACGAAAACGACGAGGAAAATTGCGCACCACGTGGGAGGAGAGAAGAAAAGCTTTAGACGCGCTCTAAGTACGTGAAAAAAAGAAAAGAAACCGCAGCTTTCGGACATCGTTAAATTTCTTTCGAAGAGAATCGCACGCACATTGAAAATGAGATACGGGAGATATTTGCGGTAAAATCTGCGACTTTTAAACAGTAAAAAAAAAAAAAAAAAAAAAATGACACGGACGTATCACAAACTAAGACACTTGGAATCGCGACTTGATTTTGTGGATTATAATTCGTAGCGCATTATTATGTACAACGCGACAATATTTTTTGGAATTTTTTTTTAACGTCGAATTACGTGCTCTAAATGAGAATGCGAATATGAGAAACAATGGCGAGCAAACACAAAGAGAACAGAGAGGAAAATACAAGCGAGTCATTGTACAATTTTGTGAGAAACTCGGTGAACCTTTTTAAACCTGTACAGTTTTTAAACAATGTTTTAATTAAATTTTACTTTTGTTTTTACAAGTGGCTACACTCTACAAGTCTCTATACAAGTCTGCTTTTATTATAATTAGATCGCAAATGATCTTTGAACTTGAAGTCTGTTGACAAGATCTCAGAATAAACAATGAACTATTTAGAACACGCGCTTGCGTTGACCAAACATTTCGGTTAATTGCGTGGAAATTTGATGGGAAAGCAAGCAATTTGAATATCGCAAACAAACGTGCGAACGTAACAACTTAAACACACAAATGTGCGTCGAACGCGACGAGCAAAAGCGCAAGGTTGTACCTTGACCGGTACAACACAACCAACATTTGATTCCCTGAAGTTTAAACGGGGTCAAGGCCGTTCTTGAGAAGGAACTTTAAGTGCTTCCACATTTCGTTAAAAAAATTTCGCAAGGTTTTTACTTTCCATAATTTTTCGCATAAATGTTTGCACGCGAGCGTTTGCAAAACGCTAGAGCTGAACGCAGAGCGCTCTCCTGATTGCATATCTCCGCCACATATTTCTGATTTAATTCGATTAGCCGGAAAATAATCAATATGTTATATGCAATAATTTATTGGATTTTTCGAAGTATTAATTTTGTACTCGCGTGTGAATTTGAGTTTTGCGTTTTAATTGTTTTCGACAAAACTGTTTTGTATAAATTGTACGCAAATATTTTCGAAATTTTTTTCTTGATGATAGATTGAGAAATTAGAAACACGCTGTCGTAGCAGCTGCGTCGATGCACCACATGCATAGTTTGCTCCTCGCCTCTTGAATAAAGTTTCACCGGCATTCATTCATTTTCACGCGACGAGCATATTGCATCAACCGCAAACTAGATAACCTCATGTTTCAAAGCGCGCGCTTTTCGTGGCTACGCTCTCACAAACAGTGTCAGTTTTGTATTAATGATAACAATATTCGCATTACATTATCTCTTCAAACTTCGCAAAATTAACGTCGAGATTGAAATTTCGCAACTTTAATTTACCGCAGATTTGTTGAAACCAAAATCATGAACCTCGCAACTACGTACGTTTTACAAGTGGAGAATGGACTATATAGTTTATTGAATAGAATAGAGAGAATAATAATTCAGGAGAGAGAGAGAAAGAGAAAACACACACAAATTATATTAAATAAAAACGTGCGAGCGCAAGTTGTACCAAAGATATAAATTTTATATTGCAATTTAACTCTCTTTAGACAAATTTAACACAACAATCTCTGCATTTTTTTTTTTTATTGTAACTCTTTTATTAACTTCTAAAATAGCAAAAACCGCAACAATCTTCTCGGTATCTCTCATTTGTAATCTTTGCGATAGTCTCCTGTGTGCGCGGAAATAACATTCTGTTCTCTCTCCCATGCTTCCTAATAACAATAATCCGTCGAGCGTTCACCGTAGATTTTTTAAGCCGGCTCTTTGCCACGTAATCTCGGAGACAATCATAAGCTCGTCCATGACAAAGTGGAACTTACCGTGCGGAGAAATGATACGTCGTCCTGTTCGGAGCCACCCTCGCTATCGGCCATCCCGTCGGCACGTTTTCACACGACGAGCCTCGTCTGTGTCACTTGTGTGTGTGTGTGTGTGTGTGTGTACGCGCTCGTACGCACGTATGTACGCGCGAGTGCGTGTGTATGTCACTTGGTGTGCGAGGCACCCTTATCGATACTAGAGCGAACGATCATGCAAAGTTCCGTGTAGTCAACATGTTCGCGTCGAAACACCCAGGCGGTCTCTCCTCGTCAGCCTTCTCGTCTCGTCAATGAAGCCGACGGCAATGACGATAGCGATGTCGACGTCGGCGCACTACCCCCCGACGTTCGTTCAACACCGACGATCACTTACTGCTGATCGGAGGGCACCCTAGACCTCTCGACGTCTCTCGCGCAAGCGCTCCACACCTTTAATCAAATACGGCATATTCGAGATTCTGTTTTTTTTAACGCAAACCCCTCTGTCGCGCAGTTTCTTTTCGCTCATCTTAGCGTAAAAAATGTTGCGGGAATAGTCTCTTTCCGAGATCAATCCGAATGACACGACGAGGAATGAATTTTTTTCGATAAGGCGAACACGTTGCGAATGTTGCAAGTAATAACGAAACAATTACTTTTTTCTCTGGTTTTTTAAAAGATTTTCAGCAAATAACTTTGAAAACTCATCAGCATTGGTAATTCGATAATACACAGTCTCTCTCACGTCACTTCAAATTGTCACTTTGATTTGCACATCTTAATGAAAAATTCTAAACAGCTTGTGAAACTATTTTGGCTAGACATTTAAAAATAGTTCCGAGCAACACAAGTTTTCTTTTAAATACAGAAAACGAATTTAAAAATTATTTAAAAAATTATTAAAAAAACAAACAAACAAACAAACAAATGTTGATGTTATAAGAATAAAAATTATCAGAGTTTTCGACGAGTTTTCGTACGAGTTGAATCGCATCCAGCAATTAATGACGTCAATTTGGCAAATCGACTAGTGTTGCTTAATTTATCAAACTGACGTCATTAATCGTTTCGGAAGCCATTCAACCCTTTTGAATCGATCACAAAAAATCATCAATACATATTTACACATACGCGAGATTACATTCAACGAGTAAATTATATGAAATGTTAAAAACTATTACAACATTAATCTAAATAGAATTATTAGATTTAAATATATAAAATAAGAAAAATAGGACGAGATGTACTTGTAGCTTTTACTTATATTTTTATATCAAGTGGTGTATATAAACAATTAGTTTTAATATCATTGCACACAGATAACAGATAGAACAGTGGAATTAAAACAATTAGATTGTGTCCGACTTCTGTTAACATTCATCATGGAGAAAAAAACCGAGAGAAGAAATTGACAACTCAGTTGAGCGATGCGATGCGTCGATGTAGAAATATATGCTCGGTTTGATTTTATCTTCTCAAAGATTCTATTCCCAGCAACAAGGCAGAAATAGATGCATCCGCGATGGCTTCCCGAAAATATCATTACGCGCTTAGCTTCATTCTCTTATTATCGCGTTTAATACCTTAATCAAAGGTTAAGGTTATCTCGCGAAACACGTGGTGGTTTTATCGTTGCAAAAAAAATCTCAAAAACAATACACCTACATTAAGTTATGGTAATTAAAGTACTTGTGCATTACGTATCCCAACGGACGTAAATGGCCTTTAAAGTTGCACCACCACAACGTCTCAATAATATCCAATGAAGGTGCAACTTTTTTTTAATGTGTACAAAGACATTTACGCCGTTGCCTAGTACTCGCATTATTCATCGCGAAATAAAAATTTCATAGAAAGTCGATAAAATCTCGATACATCTCATGTTCTATAAATATTTCTTCATACTTCGAGATATATATATATATATATATGTATGTATATTCAACATTCAGAACATAGATATATATTTATTTAGTCATATTGTTACAAAAAAAAATTTTATTAGAACAAATTACGCACAATGTGGCAGTTCGAATTTTTGCAACAACAATCGAGAATAAATTTGGTGAGTATACGCGCAAACGTAATGTTCGATTTATATCGAAATACTTTAATTTTGGCAATTAATTGTTTTTTGTTTAACAAAAAATATTTCACCCGCTGAATGTTATTTTACAACAGAGGCCTCTTTCTGGCAGACATCTGTGACATCTCTTTTGTCTGGCAGAAAGCTGTTTCGAAAAAATAACACATTGCATAAGAATTGAGAAAAACTGAATTTCTAATTTTAGGATAACACAACCGTACGAGTTTATTTTCTGTTAAATTAAGAATAGTTCGAAAATTGTTTCTCAATTTTTAATTTGTCGAGTCTAAGTATGTTTTACGCGTGTGTATAAAAATTTAAAAGTAATATACTTTATCACAAATTGAACATGTAACTATTACCAGGTTCTCTTGAGGATATTCCAAGTTCGTTAAGCGATAAGATCCGTTTTTGTTGAACACTTTCAAAGAATTACTCTAAAAAAAAAAAAAAAAAAGCAACTATTCTCGATCGGAAAAACACGCACGATAATCGTTCAGAAGCATCTCTCAAAATATTGCTCATCCCTCATCAGTGCACATACATACACTCACACGTACACAACTGTGTAAAGGGGAACGCGCGGTAATTCTCTGCAGATTTTGTTTTCGCAAAGTGTGTGTTTCAAGTGGGAGGATTGATCGCGAAAATTCACTGTGAAAAGACTCACCTCGAGCACTTCACTTTGTCACAAACTTCCGTTTCGCGTGTTATTTACTCACGTGATAATGCGGAGAATTTCACAATCAACCCGAGACGAGAATGGTCGTATATTTCGCGCTCGGCCGAGAACTATCTCGAAGTGGCGAGCCTTCGTTTCTTCTTTCGTCGCGAGAGAGACGGACCTCGCGACGAAATTTCTATCGAAGCTCAAGGAGCTATACCGAGCAAAGCGGAGCGGAGCGAGAGCGAGCGGTTCTTCAGCGGCTATTTTCATCCTCGAGCCGAGCGAGCGCTCCGCTCTGCACGCTTCACGTCGTACCCTGAGGAAAACTCGTAAGATCGGCGACAGTGACGTCGGACGTCACCTCAAAAGTTGTCACTTATTGTAACAATTACCAAAAGTTGAAAAAAATCATTAAAGAATTGTGTTCTTGTTTCATTGCGTTATTCTTCGTATGTTCTACGTTTTATTTATCTTGTTTCAGGAATTGTTTCTTCGACAAAACTAATTAATTAATTTTTCTTCGTTTTATTTTTTTTTAACAACTTTGTTACATTTATGTTTTATTAATTTAATACACATTTTCACTAAGATAAATTGCATCGACATTAAAATAGAGGTAAAAGAACAAAGAGAGAACTTTAATTTGAAAGTTCTAGTAAATAAATCTATGTATTTGACAATGTTGGATTCATCAAGAATCTCAAATTACAATGACTATTATAACCTTGTAGCTTGATTTTGTTGCCATCAACCCTTGCCAAGAGACTTTCAACCTGACATATCTTTCTTACGAAAAGACAAACAACATGATACATTTTTTAACAAAAAGATATACATATACACTATATGTAAATAAAACATTTTTTAAAGAAGTTTATGTATTTCTTTGAGCGGCGATTGTAAGTTTGACGTTTGCAAAAGTATTTACATATTACAAAGACTTTTATCAATAATGTGGAAGTATTGATATGAAGAGAAAACATTTAAATAAAATTTTTATTATAGCAAAATAAGTTTTGCATAAGCCGATAATTATTTTTATGTATCAAATACTTTCAATGATTTTGCACGAAATGATACGCTTCGCAGGGAGTTTTAAATTACCGCTGTTTTCTCGAGTTTTGTACGCAGACGCTGCAATCAGCTGACGTGTCTTGACAGAAGCAGCCGAAAGCATCCAACGATAATATTTCGTTTATGTATAAAATTTTCATTGTTAGGTTAAGTTTTTGGCAAATAATAGAATCATGTTGGGAAAAATAAAAACAAAACAGGAAAAAACAGGGGGTAAGTGAGAAAATTATTTCAAAAGTAAAACGCAATTGGTGGAAATAAAAATTACATACGTGTCAACGAGAAAGGTTATGTTTGTTATTTGTGTGTTCTGTGTTTCAATTTAATTGCAATTAGTCAATAGATAAATTAATTCAGGAACATGTAAAAGAAAAATTGCTTAAGAAAATAAATCTCTTATTACAATTAAAATGAGTGGAATATAAATAAATAAATATATAAGTTTTAAGAACATACAAGTTTGTAATTTTTGTATTAAAAAGTATATACTGCTATGTATATGCTTGTGTGTATGTGTGCGAACAATGTAGTAAACTAGTACAAAATATAATATTTTTTTTGTATTGCAGAGATTGTTGCATATAGCGAGGCAGCACTTGTAAACAATTCTGCTATTGTAGAATATTGTAAGATATCAATGGCAGCTCTTTCAGGTGGTACAGCTGGTTTGTTAGGATTGACAGGATTATATGGTTTCGGATTTTACATCTTTGCAGTTTTAGGACTTTGGGTAATCTATTATCTTGGGACACATATTACAGTATTTATTTACATATATATTTAGTATTTATTTACATATAATATCATACACACATTTTTATAGGCAATGTTATTAATGAAAGTTGGTAGCCAGTGGAGAAAATATTTTATTAGCAGGCGAGGTCTTCTTACGGGAGGTTTCTTTGGGGGACTTTGTGTATCCTTTGAACCATATATATATATAAACCTAATTTTTACTTTCAGGAATAAATTGTTTTCCTTAATAGCAATTATTGATTGTGAATTCTACAGACATATGTATTATTCTGGACGTATCCTTTTATATCACATATATTTAACACTATTCTAAATATTTTACACACATACACACACGTGTCATCTGAAGGCTAAAGTGTTCTGTATTAATTTTCCACCAAACATCGAAAACTCTAACCTTCAAATGACAACACATATATTTCTTATATAATTCTTAATATTTCTTAGATTTTTATATGGAATGGTCCATGTTTATTAGGAAAAAAAAGGCACGGATAGCTTGAGCGAAATAACGTGTAACAATTACACACCAACATATAGCATTTATATCATTGTGGATACTGACCAAACAATCAATAAAAAACGTTTTCTTATTGAATAAGTATGTTGATGTGTATTTAAAAAAAATGCACTTTTATTAATATAATAAATAATTGTGTCATTTTTCACTTATATTTACGTATAATATTTTAATATATAATGTAGAAAGACAATATGAGAAAGACAATGCAAACGTGAGTAATAGAATATTTATGTTCTTGATTGGGAGAATGTGTATCATTTTTTTATTTTATTATACATTTATATATAGTCAGAGTTCTCGGTAAGTTATATATTTGTATGTGCAACATGTGAACACACATTTGTGTAAATAGTAAATTGCTATTGTTTTTAATCACACAAAAAGAATGTTACAAGAGAATCTTAAATTATTCATAAATATATATTTCTTCAATATATATATAAATATTTTCTATCGGATACAATACCTTACACGCTTTCTCTCTACATATCCTACATTTTACTGTACATCTTTTTGGTATTCTTGTGTTATTAGTTTTTGAGAATTAAAAGAGTACATACAGTAAAACACTTTCTCTTATATGTAAATATATATAAGACAAAAAATAAATTGATATATAAACTTTCATTATACTTTGTACTGAATATGCTCATATTCTCTATTTCAAAAAATGTAACTCTTTAATCCATCCTCATTAACGCGCTACAAACAGAGAGAGTTGTATATTTATATATACTATTATAAATAAAAATTTGTGTACATCTATAGCACATCTTGATATGTAATTACATATTTTACTTATTATTATGTTACTGTATATTTTACATATTATTATATTTATTTATTAATAGGTACACACAAGTAATTTTTCGAAATTATTGATAAAACTTAAATTACGAAGAAGGAGCACGATCTCTCGGCAGTGAAAGTCAATCATATCGTACAAATATACTGGCGCACAGTGATATTTTTGCGAATTGACTGTATCGAGAAAGTTCTTAGAGATTTTAAACTTTTGTTTCAGAAGTTTGTTCCGCTATCTCTTCTTGTTGACAGCTTTCAGTAACAGGCGGTTGAAGAGGAATGTCGGGAGGGAAAGTTCCAGTTTCTAAATTCTCCAATCTTCGCTCCTCGTCCATTTTATCCAGTTCCGCTTTGCTCAAATGATAAACTATCCCAGCTCCGTAACCATCGCCCAAAACATTGATCGATGTCCTGATTCGATCCCTTTAAAGCAGAGCGATTGCTTTAATTTACACAAACGCGAGAGCGCAATAACACGCGTGCTACTTACAGCATCCAATCGATAGCAAATAATAGAGAAACGTCGTTCGTGGGAAGACCCAAGGCAGTCAACACCAGAAGCATGGTGACCAATGCGGCACTGGGGATGCTTGCGGCCCCCACGCTCGCCAAGGTAGCTGTAAGGCTACGATAAAAAAAAAAAAAGCCAATTAAGTCGTGAAAAAAATATATTCTTTTCGATTCAGTGAATTTGAAAATAATAAAAAAAGATCGAAATAGTTTTTTTTTTATCAATAATTTAGGACGCAATGTGAGAAGAAAATGATTTCACGTACCTGACAGTAATTATTTCAACGAATCCCAACGAGATCCCATTCAATTGCGCGATGAAGATCGCGGCTACGGCTTCGTAAAGGGCTGTCCCATCCATATTCACGGTAGCACCTACAGCTACGACGAAGCGTGTCACTCGCGGATCGATCTTGTTGTTTTCCTCGAGACAACGGAAAGTTAAGGGCAAGGTCGCTGCGCTATATATCCACACATACATATTATATAAAAGCTATTAAAAAGAGAGAGAGAGATAGATAGATAGATAAAAATCATTTAATCACACGCTACAAAGATGAATTTTATTGCACTTTGTGCAATTTACATTACGATCGCGTGCTCTAAGATAAGAAAATATGATTACGAAAATATGAAACTTCGTCAATGAGCGAGTTAATTAAACGTAACAAATCAATAGCCTTACCTCGAAGCCGTGCCCAGCGCTGTAACCCAGGCTTGCATCATGCCTCTGAAGAACACCGCTGGATTTTTTCGTGTTATAAACCAGTAGATCGTTGGCAGCGTGATGATAGCGTGGATCATCAGGCCCAACACAACTGTCACCATGTAAAGACCTAACATCTGAGCGGTCGCCGCTAGATTTGTAATCGACATGATTTTTCCAGCTATCAGACACATAATTCCGAACGGGGAATACCTGATATGGCAATTGTATAGCATTACATTAGAGAAGATACTTCTCTTTAGATATACTATAGAAGACGGGAGAGAGAGAAAAATTGTTTTAGACAAATCAAATTTTAGCGCGCATGTTGTACATCAAATGATTAACGAGAAAAAAAAAATTACTAGACATCCGCGGTTGTTTGTTTACTGATTGACACGAATTTTGTTTCTCAAGCAATGACGTAAAAATGACCATTACCAGACGACGACTATCGAGACGAGCTTCATGATGATCTCGTTCAGCACCACGAAGAAATCTACCATCAGTTTACCGCGCGGACCGATCTGGCCCGAGAGCACGCCGAAGATGATGCAAAACACGATCATGCCCATCACATTCGTGCCGTCCTTGTAAACCAAAATCGGTTGCATCATGTAATCGGTCTTGTTCGTGCCGAACACAACTATCTTCTTCTTCACGTATGATGTTTGAACCTGCTGGAAGCACGCTTGCACCAGATTTTCCGGCACCATGTTTCTGTGAATGTAAGATTACGAATTTCGAACGAACGGATTACAAGGACAAGATTCTCTGTTCTCTCATACCGAATTATGTCGAGAATCGCGTCCAGAGTTGAGACTTTCGTCTCCTCGGTCTTTACCACAGCCGCAACCGTGGTTTTGATCTGCGGATTGCCCGGATGGATCATCAGCACCATCGCAATGCCCACAATAGCGGCTAGTATGGTCGTCACCGAGTAATACGTTAGCGCTCTGAGGCCTATTCTACCCGATCTCTGAACGTCCAATTGCGCCATTCCTGAAATTCCGACGTGTCGTGTCTCAAGATAGAAAGAAATGGACGAGTGTGAGAAAAACTTTTTTTTTGCATTCCGTCATATCTGATCAGACTTCCGTACCGGAGATGAGCGACGAAATGATGAGTGGCAAGATGAACATCTTGAGCATTCGCATAAGGATCTCTCCGGGGAAGCTGACGAGGATTATGGACTGTGGCGAAAGATCGGCCAATCGACCCAGAAAACCGAGACCTAGGCCGACCAGAACTCCAGCGACGGTCAGTGCGAGGAGCATGTTACCTTTCATCCATTCTATCACCTGCATCGTTCGTAAATGCGCGAGAAAAAATTTAATTCACACTTTATCCGAAAAAAATTTATATCTCGAACTTCTCCGATATATTTTATGTTTTAGGCAACTCGACAACATTTGGTTTTTAATTTTTTAGCCGAAACAAATTTTAAATTTTAATTTTAATTAACGAGAAAGGAACGCAAATCAAATCACGTCCTGCAAAACGTTTGCATTTGTTTTTAAAATCCGATCAATTATTTAACTGCGCTGTTGCCAATTTATTTATTGTATTTAATAGATCTCTCGTTCAAATTTAGTCGTCGCACAGTGATTGGATAGCAAATATTTACTAAATACCATCTGCAATCTGTCTTCGACCGTCGCTTTGCGCGGTTTTTCGACCTCGATCTTTTCCTCGGACGTCGTCTTTTCGATCTCTTCCGCATGTGACCTGGAATACATTCCAGATGAGATTGACGGCAAATTTCCATTAATGTATGTGTGATAAAAATCTGTTTTTTTTTTTTTGTTTTTTTTTTTGTTTACGTGTGACCGCCTTCTTTGGCTTCCGTCGAGGTTCCTCGAAGAACCGCAACAGCGCCGGAAATGCGTTGTCCCAAAGACATCTTTCAGGCTTTGCGGAAACACGTCGCTTCAGAATATTGTGAGAGCACGGACGGTTGGAACACAGATCCTTGCGCGAGTATCATCCCGCTGCTTTCATGATTGTGCCGCGTCTTTCCATGACGCGAATCATCTTCGTTCGGATGTCCGAGCAACGCGATTCACAATTTTTCTAGATTATCTGGTGTGCACAAGAATAATTTTTTACTTTTGCGTTTGTGTCGCGTAACAACGTTTCTCGTATGTTATCGCGTCGATTGTGAGAAATTTCGAAGAGCTAAGATAACGCATCTAGATGTGATCGAGATGGTCTCGGTAAAGAGGTACGGCGTCGTACCGAAAAAACCGTATCATCGATGATTCGAAATTCTCGAGGCGAAATCTTGGTAGTCCCGGCTTCTAGTAAGAGTCGGAAACTATATACTACCGTAGCTACACTTATTGAAGCGAATATAAACGAGACCCTTTCGTACGCGTATATTTTAGCGGTACAAGATTTATTCACGAAGCAAACAGAAAAAAAGTAAAGAGGTAGCGAACGGAAACAAGATAAAAAAAAAAAAAAAACTATGGCGGGCGAGGAGTTAAATAAATTTAAATAAATTATATTTCGAACACCGCGTGTATTGTTACGAAGTTTTTAAATAAAGAATCGACCTTCGACCCGCAAAGGATTGATTGATTTCAACAATAAGCCAAAGATCGTAACAGTTGTATTCTCACAGTCGGCCGTGACATTTTGGTAGTTTATATACGCGCGAGCGTGATATTTAGTTCTTTAAATAAATCTTTTTTTTTCACTTTTTTGTGTATTTGTCAAAAGTGTGCGTCATTTATCAACGCGGCGAGCATCAGTTCATTAGCATCTTCGATCCGTTCCGACTCTTACGTAAGAAACAAAGCAAAAATGTTTTTTATTTTTTGTTTCACAATTTTAATTATTAAAATATAGAAAATAAATGCACTATTTATCGCTGCGCATGAGCGATGAAAGAAGAAAAAAAGAAGGAAAGAGTAAGAATATTTTTTTCGCGCGCAAAAGTTCTATTTTATAAAAGATACACAAAAACTATATATATGTGTATATGGATATGTATATGTATGTGTATATATATATATATATATATATATATATATATATATATATATATATGTATATATCCTTGAGATTGTGTAATATTTTTATCTCTCTTCTGTTTTATATCTCGAACTTCTTTCTTTACACTTTCGAAAATCGCAATGGCGGACACTTTTCTTGACGAATAAATCGTCAAGATGCGCGCAAATCGTTCGCGTAAACGTATCGCGACACACGGCGATGCTTTCGCGCGTACTAGCAAGACCCATCGCGGCAGATCGCGCACAAGGGGGTAAGGCCCCGAAGGAGGTCACACCTGATCTGATTACATCCAGGATCATTGCACCGCACTATTGCAAACGACATCCGCAAGAGAGCTTCCGACGGGCTTTTCGCGATCGACAGATCGGTCAGATCTGCTGGTGGGCTGGATATCGCGGATCTGCCTACAATCAGCCAGATAATGCGCCCCATCCAGGAAGCTTGATTAGTGTGCGCGGGGAAGCGAAAGGCGCTTATATCGAAAGGGGAAAAGGGGACGTAGACGGACGGAGATGCTTCAAGGGAGAAAGAAAGACCGGTAGATCTCACAGGAAGAGGCCACTCATCGCGGCGGGTCGCACGGCACCGAATAATAAACGCCGAAGAGAGGAAGAATGCAGTCGCATTTCGCAGAAAACTGCCAAAATATCGAGCCGCTGCTCGACACATCGGGCGAAAAGTGAGAAAACGTGAGATGATGATAATAATAAGTAGAAAAGAGCGAGAAACTCTCTCTCTCGTCTCGACGCTGAGATAAATTGTCGAAACTGACGTCGGAACGTCAAGTGCTGAATGTTATCTCATAACGCGCGTAATTTATAAGAGCCTGCATCAGATCCGGAACATATGTGACGCAAAATTGTTGGGGGGGGAGAAGGATGGGGAAGGAGAGGGAGGGGAGTACCGTGTGTCTCTTGGAGAATACAAAATTTATACAACACGTACGCGTTCACAGAGATGTAAAATAAAAATCTAATATTACGTACATGTAATTACGCGTACAGAGGGCAAATCATATTTTTGAACGTATACATGCAAACAAATATATTTTAAATTAAAGTTTTCAACAAGATTGCGCGCGATTTCTCAATTGTTTTTTTTTTTTTCCACGTAAGCGATTGTTCGCGAAAAGAAGAAATACACACACGGAGACTGTAACGCGGAAATATATTTACATGTGATTGTTTTACACGCACGTAGGATACGACCATTTACCAGACCCCTTTCTATATCCGTTGAGAAGTAACCTAATTCTTCTGACTAATGACGGCTATGACTGTGACTATATATAGACCAACATTGAGTTCACGGTGGTAGCGTAATGTGAGGACAAATCGAATTTCCCCGCGATAACGCATTTAATAACATCTCGTGGACGCGAAAGAGAGAGCGAGCGAAATAAAATTAATAATGCGCTCCGGGAAATCGAGTTATGCAAGACGCACGTTCTTGCGCATCTCCTACATTTTTTATTTTATTTGTTATTTATCACTAAATTGTGCGTTTCGTCGTTTTAATTATTTTGTCAACTATATCTGTAGTCGCTAGAAAGCTTAAAATGTTTAATAATTATTACACAATAACCAACAATATTTTACTTAACGTTAATATTATAATCCGGTTTAGAGAATTGTCCGCCACTTTAAAATAAATCTAATATATTACATTTAATACACGTGATTAGATGATCTAGAAGATAAAAAATAAAGTGATAAACCAAGATAGAATTTATATACGTGAGACACACACACTTTACATAAATTTTTTTACATAACTAAAAAAATAACTTGTTTAATAAAACACGTTAATGAATTTTTTTCTAATATAATTTTTCTATGACACGCGAGTAAAATATTTTGTGATATCACATCACAAAATGTACTGCAATGTAGTGCGCTTTGGTGATTTCTTTGACTTGTCAATTTACGCGCGAATTTGCGCGTGAGAGTCACGTGATCTCTCGCCGCTACCCTACGCCGACGGTGTCACGTGTGTGTGTTTACTCTTGTGATCGCGACGATAGACACGGATTTCTATGGTGGTGTAATTTATAGAAATCTGTGCGCGATGGATAACGTAAACAAAGATTCGAAACGCGAGAAATACTACTTCTACAATAGTCTGTCGATTCTACTGAAAGCCGTGGAGAAGCAACAAACGACAATAGATTTGCGAAATGAAGCGTACATTTTTGGCACCGTCGAACACGCCGATGCGTACGTAACTTTTATCGACATTGTAGGGAATGCAGGGACACATAGAAAACTGCTACGTATCGATTACGTTCAGAAAACAACAACGGTTGCAACTGTTGGGTTTTTTTTGACAAAAACGTGATCATTGTTAAAAAAAAATTGAAATATTATTGAAAAAAGAGAGATGTCACGCTTGGAAAATTAATTAGTTTACAAAATTCTGCGCTCAGTACATGTGTACTGATTACAATAATTCAATTTTAAAGACTTTCACCTTGAAATTCGATTATATTTACATCGAAATTTTGCGACGCATTTGTGTTTTGTTTTGTTTTTTTCGCAGATACATGAACGTCGTGATGAGAGACTGCGTGTTCACGGATCCGTGCGGAGACTCCTTCAAGTACGACATGTTTTTCGTGCAAGCGAGAAATATCCGTTGCGTTCATATCCCGCTGAACGTAAGTATTTTATCACTGAAGAGATTTTGTTCAATGTTTTTCCGTCGGTAGGTAACACTTCGAGATGTCGAATTTAGGGAGTATGTGTGTGTGTGTGCAATTAGGTGCGTTTGATATCTCGAAGTTGCCGGTTCCGAATGGCCTCGTTGTTGGCTACGATTTACAATGTAACGTGGCGATGGCGGCGGCAAAACTTGTGCATTAACACACACAAATTGGTTCATCAGATATGATTAGAGGCTTCGGCTCTTATCGTAATACCGCAAAGTTATGTGCAATTAAATACACTTCCGCACGTAAAGAAATACCTGGTAGACCAGAACTAGTATATACGGTGCATATAAACATGGCAGTAAGTACATCTGCTGATAACATGAATGTTTTTAAGTTCACTGATTACGATTGCATCGGTTTTGATCTGGATAACACCCTGCTACGTTACAATGTCACGAATCTGACGAATATGGAGTACGAGATGTTGGCTAAATTCTTGGTGAATGAACGGGGATACAGTAGCAAGCACCTGTTAAAACCACTGACCGATGATGATCTAGATTTCATGCAGAAAGGACTGTTGCTGGATTTTGAGAAAGGAAACTTATTGAGGGTAAGCCCGGACGGTGTTATCCGTAGAGCTTGTCACGGCTCGCATTTGTTAAGCACAGATCAAATAAGAGAATTCTATCCAGAACAAAGATGGGAAGTTACGGATGCCTTTTGTAGTGACATACTGACAACCTGGTACGGTCCTCTGTCTGAGAAAGTGAGGAGTTTATTGGATTATTTTGATATGCCAACAAGTGTTGTGTTCGCACGAATTGTGGATATGCTTGACGAAGAGCATGGCTCACCCTTGGATGTGTATAATATCTGGCCTGACATATTGGCTGGACTGATGCACATGTTCTCCAGAGAGAAGTTTCAATTGGACGACGGGATCTTTGCTCACATTAAACGAAATCCAGAGAAATACTTACGAAAATGTAGCGAGAAAACTGTGTCGTGGTTGAGAGAAGTTAGAAAAAAATTCCCAACTTTTCTTCTCACTGGATCAAATGCAGACTTTGCAAACTTTACAGCAAGTTACTCTCTTGGAAAAGATTGGCAGTCTCTTTTCGACATTGCGATATGTTTTGCAAAGAAGCCTGGTTTCTTTACTATGAAACGACCGTTTTTGAAAGTTGTAAATTATAACGAGACTGATATAAATATTTCGAGCCAAGATTTAAAACGGGGCGAGTTATATAGCCAAGGGAATTGGAGCGATCTGTTAGAATTTTTTTCACGCATAACAGGAAAAGTTGATCAACGATGTTTGTATGTTGGCGATAATTTAGTGCAAGATATTTACGTGCCAAATGCGTTTGGGCGTTGTGATACATTAGCTGTGATCGAAGAGCAAATGGCAGAAGGAATGCTTTATCAACGGTTGACTCATCCTGACGAGAAGATTTTGAATTCCAATTTATGGGGTTCTTACTTTTGCTTGAAAGACTCAACAATTAATGTAGACTCTCTGTGGGGACATTTAATAAAGAAACACGCAAAACTCTGTATACCAGAAATCGATGTGGTGACACAGAAATCTTTGCAAGAATCATTTCCGTGTTTTGATAAAAGTGGAAAGTCATATCACGGATATTATCCTGCTGTGCCACTTAGTATATCGGCTATGTAATGCAATAATACATACGATTGTTTATCTTTTATTAATTAGTAGCAAAAGTTACAGGTTTTACAGACATAGCACTGAATAGTTTTTTTATATATGTAATAGTTTTTTCATATTTATACACATGACATTTAAAAAATATACTGTATTTAGAAGACCGTTTTACAAAATTTGTTTAATGCCGTGTTGTTAAAAACATCGCAACTTGTAATAAAAAGTTTAAAAAAAAATAGGAACTTATCTTTTCACGCTTTTTTGTTTAGTCTAATGATAATATGTATTTCACTTTAAGATACGGATTATACCAGCTATCAAGAAGCAATTGAAGCAAGTCGGCAATTCGTCGAGGAAAGAAGAGAATACAAAACCTACATACAAACAAATACGTGACCAGCAAAGACAAAAGGAAAGTCTAGCAGCTGTAGAACAAATTTTTAAAAGTAGAAGTACAAAGAAACATTAAAAACAAAGATTAATAAATTTTTTAATTAGTGTATGAGACTTGGGAACTCAAATACTAACTAGTGTATGAGACTTGGGAACTTAAGCGTAATGTTTGCTCATATTGATTAAATTTGGAGACATGTAGTTGAAACTTTTTTTTAATTTTTTAACCATGTTTAATATTTATACAGAGTAAAAACATTTTTATAATATTTGTATACTTTTTTCTTAAATATTCTCACAATGTATACAAGAGAATACTGCAACATATATACATTAATATGTATTATATACAAGTATTCATAAAACACTATATTGGTTTTGTTTTATAAAAAAGAATAGATAAATAAAATACTTAATATATTATATATATATATATATGTTACATATTCAACAACCCTATGTTTTGTTAGCAATAAATGTCGCTATGATAAATTTTATTATTTAGCAAATTAACACATAAACAGTGATAGTTATAAGCAATAAAAGAATTATTGAAATTTTATGTAAAATGTGTGTGTATATTCTACACATATGTAAATACGTATATATGTATGTATGTACATATATACACTGCACACACACATGTATGTATATTATGTGTATATAAGGATAAAATATTTGTTATTTTCTTTCAATAGCAATAGCAATGCCCATTCCTCCTCCGATGCATAAAGACGCAACACCTTTTTTCTTTCCAGTTCTTTCTAAAGTGTACAACAGTGTGATCAGTACTCTTGTTCCTGAAACGAAAACATTTATTTTTCAAACAAAAATTTGATAAAAGCAAATCGCATCATGTATTTTCTGTGTGCATACCAGACATTCCGAGCGGATGACCCAGAGCAATGGCACCACCGTTTACGTTAACTTTCTCAGGATCTAACCCAAGTTCTTGAATACACGCAATTGATTGCGCTGCGAAGGCCTCATTTAATTCGTAAAAATCTACCTCTTCTTTTGTCCAGTTGGCTTTTTTCAACTAATAAAATAAATTAAGCTTTTTCAGTTATAAAGAAAGTCTATCACATCGGGATACAAAAGTAAGTCAAAACGAAACATGATGTACCAACAGGATACGAAAGTAAGTCAAACGAAATATAATGTACTAACAACTAATTTCACAGCTTCAACAGGACCGATGCCCATTATATGAGGTTCACATCCCGTTTGTGCAACCGCAACAATAGTGGCTAATGGTGAAATTCCTTTTTTAGCAGCGGTTTCTTGTGACATAAGAACTACAGCAGCTGCACCGTCACTTATACCAGAGGCATTACCGGCAGTAATATATTTCTAAAATGCAATATCAAAAAATGTTATATCTCTAAAAACTTACATAAAATATTATGAGGAATGACTATTTACGTACCAGATCAAACACTGGTTTTAGTTTTGCGAGTTTCTCCACAGTCATTCCAAATTTTGGAAATTCATCCTTGGATACGACAGTGGATCCTGTTTTGCTTGTAACAGTTACTGGGACAATTTCTTTGTCAAAATGTCCAGCAGTGATAGCGGTCTCTGCTCTCTGCTGAGATTTGCACGCGTATTTATCCTGTGCTTCTCTACTTATTGCATATTTTTTAGCGAGATTCTCAGCTGCAATAAAGTGAAGATATAATATTCATTAACCAGAAATACGCAAAATTTTACGTCCAGACGTAATAGTTTTCAAACCTGTGATTGCCATGTGAATGTTATGGAAAGCATCTGTTAAACCATCCTCTAACATTGAATCAACTAAACTACATTCGCCCATTTTTGTACCGCTTCTCATATAAATAGTATGTTTAGATCTACTCATGCTTTCTTGACCACCAGCCACAACTATATCACTCTCTCCTAATTTTATGGAAAAAAATCCAGTTGCTACAGACCTACAATGTATTACAAAACACTTATGTAATTCACATTTTCTCTTATTGAAAGAGTTGCTATGTGATATTTAGCAAATAAGATGAATAGCTGATAAGATAAAGAACTGATTTATATTGTGCATACTTCACGCCAGAACCACACAGCATATTTATTTGATGTGCAGGTACATGAATAGGTATTCCTGCATTTATAGCTGCTTGCCTAGCTGGATTTTGACCCATTCCAGCAGTGAGTATCTAACAAAAAATTAATATATGTACATATCATCTATTTTATATGTGCATAAATTAAGTTTTTTTTTATTGGCAAGAGCCTAACATATTGGAATACAAAGTTTGAATACCTGTCCCATGATCACTTCAGAAATTTCACTTCCATTTAGCCCAATTCTTGACAGACTTTCCTTGATTGCAATACTACCCAGCTCCGAGGCTTTTAATGAAGATAAAGAACCACAAAATGACCCTGGTAAGATAAAGAATTTTGTTATAATAATAAAATGCGATAATAAAACAATTTTTATATGTTTTTTATTATATAATGAGGTAAAATCATGTGCTTTCTTCGATTTACTATATAAAAGTGTTCAACTCGTATTGTTAAAATAATATATTTTATGACTCGTTTGTTTATTTTACAATTTTTTATATTTTTTCACAATTATATACTAATTTTACAATATTATAGCGTACAGATAGAACTTTTACATTATAAACAAAGTATAATAACCTGAATGAGCACACTAAACACTTTTATCAAATAATAAACAAATGTATTCTGGCTATTAAAGCAAAACACTGTTGTTGATGTGCGAATATTTAAATCAGTTTATTGAAACTTAGTAGCATTAACGAACCTAATACAAGGTCGAAAGCGTTAATGCTACTAAGTTTCAATAAACTGATTTAAATATTCACATATCAACAACAGTGTTTTGCTTCAATAGCTAGAATACATTTGTTTATTAAAAATTCTTGAAGCTACATTCACTTAACTTTTATCAAACTTTGCAAATTCTATAATTGTTTACATTTCAGTTTTTCCTTAAACATTAGCAAGTGTAAGTTGAGTAACAACTTAGACTGTATGCGTCATTCTTACCTATCGGGGTCCTAACAGCAGAGACTATTACCACACTACGTTCGCTCATCTTTAGCAGGTATTAACAGATCTAGATGTGCGGATCAACAATGGAAAACTGTCGCTATCGTACTGACACTACTGAACTGGCAGTGGCAGCTCTCAGCTCGCACATTCTCCCACCAAGCGGCATTTTACTCCTATCTATTAGGTTTCGATCGGTACGGGTTGAATCATTCCCGGAATGTTTAAAGACGTCATATTTTCGCACATGTGGACCAATCGTATTGCTTGATTTACCTAGGTGACGTAATTAATCGCTCCCGAAGCGATTTAACTCGTATCGAAAATGTCAAAATGAGAGAACGACGCGGGAATATATGCGTCGACTTCTACGTGACGCTATTAGAAACGAGAACCTGTCAGGATCTGTATGCGAGAAATGACATTGTGAAAGCGTGCCACGTGTGCACTTGCGTGGAAGAGGAGCACAATTGAGGTTGTTCTCTGTCTCTCTCTCTCTCTCTCTCTCTTTCTCTCTCTCTCTCTCTCTCTCTGTCTCTTTCTCTCTTTTTTTATAAGTTTATTAAACATGAATACAAACGTAACTTTATATGTGATAATCATGTGATAATGTATGAGAGGAATTACCTTTTATCACACAGAGAGTTAAATTTTATATGAAGGCGATCCTTGATACGTGCGAAAGATAAAATACATGTGCATACATATACATATATGCACGTACGTACATAATACATGCATTCAAATTTAGTTCTTTGCTTCTGCGAACACATATATATGTACATACATTTCACGTACACACACACATATCTATTTCTTTTTTATTTAAAAAGAAAACTTATACATAATTTGAAAGTGTGTCTCTCTTTTGTCGAAATATTATAATTAAATATTTCTTTCTTCAAAAAACATTTGCGATATGTGCATACGAATGTTATGTGCAACACAGAAACAAAATAAACATATATGTTTAATTTCGGCGATGCATATTACATATATTTATTATTCATTTTCATTCAGAGGAGTACAATATATATACGTGGATTTTGTCCGTACACACAAATACGATACACTAAAAAGCCTCCGTCTGCCAAATATTGTCAAAACTTTGTAACGCAAATGCATTACAAACGTACAGAGTTAAAGCCGATCTGACAATGGGACAAAAACTCGTGAGACGATAAAATAAAAATGCTGTGTACAATAGTAAAAGAGGAAGGTCAAAGGAGAAAAAGATCAGATTGGGAAGCGATTTGTCACACACGTAAACCAAGAGCGATGAATTTTATTTATTCATTGTAGATGTGTAGACGCAGTATTAGAAAAAACTAAAAAGTGACGTGTTATATAAATAGAGCGTCGCCATCGAATGCGACGCACTAGCATCTTTGTAAGATAGAGAAGTGGAATAGAACTTTGTCCACATGATTCTTCTGGCCACCTTGATTCTTGAAAAATATCGCACATGTGGATGTTTTATGAATTATTTATTATATTAGAATTTATTATCTATTATCATAATAACAATGGATCTAATATTTTTTTTTCATATATTTCATAAATATCTAATGATATTATATGCGATATTTTTCGCGAGATCAAGACCGGCTGCAGGCAGAACGTCAGTTTCGTTCTACGCGCAGCTAGAAGCCAATCGATATGCCGCTTTTCCACAAGAGCAAAATGCTGATTGGCTTTTAACGCGTTGTTTCTGACTTAAAAATTACATCTTTTGACTATTATAAACATGGACTTAAGAACTTAAAACAGATGTACAATTTGTGCTAAGTTTAACCCTTTCATTGCTATAGGCGTCTGTGGGTGCTTTGAAAGTTTGCTCAGAGCATATATTGTTGGGAAGCGCCTTTAGACGCTCAACCGATGCTCGCTCAAATGATGCTAAAGACTCTTCAAGGCGTTTCGATTTATTATCGGTATATTCATATATTTTTATATAAATGCGATAATATTCAATATTTCGACGACTTTTGTATTATTTTCTAAAGAACCTTTATACTTTGCGCACCAGCGAAAATTTCTGTCATCTGTCATGTCTGCGATTTTTGCCGCAGCAAAAGGGTTAAAGATTATCGTTAGCGCTCTGTAAGTGGTCTAGGCGTTCGACCAGTCATTAAGTTGTGAGTTAAGATAAGAGGTATACGTTTACGCAATATTATTGAAAAAAAAACAGAAGATATGATTCGATACTTTATCGAAGGCTGCAATAGTTCAGCATATATATAAGCACAAAAAATTTATATTTAAAAAATTGCAATATGAAAAACGCATTATCATTAATACACGCAACTCGAGAGAGAATTTTTAATATTACTCCGAACCAAAAGATACATACGAAATTGTATACGTAAGATTGCAAAAATTTTCACATTAATAATTTTTCAATTAATAAATTAACGACGCGTTATATAAAAATCGTTGATATTTTTACGCGCTTAACCGTTAGATATCTCTATATCTTTAACATATCTCCGCAATTAGAAAACATTTTTAACACTTAAACTGCATCATTATAGTAAAAACAACATTGACAGTATGTTTTAAAGATCATTAAAACAAATAGAAAATATGCACGTCACGTTTGATTGTGCTTCTTTACACACATATTCTCTTTTCAAAGACTCTTCTCTCTTATTTTTTTTTTTATTGTTGCATATTAAATAGCGCTATTTTTATGAACATGTTCATATTTACGTCTTATATATAAATATAAAAAACAAGCATACATAACATACGTAACATTGTATACAGCAATTATTGATATATTAACGATTATTTTTGAATTTCGCGCATTTCTCGTATACCGGACATGTTGACGCGCTATAGTTTATGCAAACCGTTACAGCAGTCGATATATATATTTACACAATCGAATATAACATCTATATATATCTATGATAATCATCGTGTTGAATCATCTGACAGAGTTAAGTCCGCCGCGATGCCGCAGGTGTCGCGGCAAGCGCGGCGCGCATCGCGGAGCTCGAGGCGCCGCGGTGCGGCAACGGTTCGTTTGTTTTTACCCAGCGTGCATTGTGGGACAGTGACTGGTGCTAAGATGGCTGACAACAGGGAGGAGATTTCGGAGCTCGTCGAGAAACGAGGTATTTGTCGGCGCGTCGCGCCTATTATTCACCGTGATATCGTCTAGTCGCGGCGTCTTTTGATCGCGCGTGTCGCCGTGACGACGCGTCGCGTTCCCCAATTGTCGCGAGACACGCGTGCCACCGCCGCAGCTGCACGTCGCGCCGCAACGGTCGGGAAAATGCGACCGATAGTCGTCCGCTGATAAAATTCCGAAACCGGCTTCCCACGAGGCTAGTTCAGTTTTTTTAATTATTCGGATGAGACACGCGACGTCTCGGTGACGTCGCGTTTTGTGTCCGCGGCGGTTGTCATCGTCTCGACACATCGCTTGTCAGACGTGTGTTCGGTGGACACGCGTTTGACAGCGCCGCGCGACTCGGTCGGTCGGTCGGTCGGTCGATTGGTCGGTCGGTCGGTCGTTCGAACCGCACGACGACTTGGCGTAACACGTGAATGAATAATTCTCGGACCGCCAGCCTGATTGCTCATTAAGGTCGCGGCCTTGCAATTCGCGTCGCCGCGACGTTTTCTACCAACCGCTCGAAAATTACCGTTATCTGTCTTCGTCTGTCTTGCCGTCTCCCCCGTGCGCACGCCGTCGCATCACGTTGTCGCACAATCGCAAAATTTAATGCCGGCTAATTCGCTCGGTGCGTGCAACGCGTTTTTCGGATCGCCGCGGTCTCCCACGTCATCCGCGGATCCGGTCCCGCACAACGTGTTCTTCTCGTTTCTCGTCATCGGTGCGTTCAGTCAATGCGCGTTCCCCGTTGCATGTGTAATATTAACGCGTTGAAAATATCGACCGATCTCTACAATTTCGACCTCAACTTTGCAGTTCACATACAAACATTGCTTCGTGAATAACTTCTCTTGTCTCTCATGATCATATATGTAATGTATGTGTTATCTCGTTTTGTGCCCGATGACTCACGTTGCGTTTTAAATACCGTGGGTTGCACGTTTTGCGCGATTGTCACTATGGCGTGTCAAAGTGCTAGTCACGGCTCAAACGCGTCAACGACGCGGTATGGGCGATTTGAATTTTTTTTGCAACTTTATAATCGCGAACTTGCGAGCAAACTTGGACGTTTGATTCGGGATTTAATTGTGCGATAAAAGAATCTACCGCATCTACTCGAGTTTTTTTCTTTTAGCGTCTACTCGCCGCACAGAGGAAAAAGTGACTCAAACAATTTTTGAAACGTATCCATGAAGTAACTGCAAACGGCGATACTTCCAAGTCGCCCTTTTATGTAGCTAGAATAGAAGTACACTTGCCTTGAGGGATATCGGGTTTCGTAAAAACGCGTACCAACACATGTCAAAGTCTTCGTATCGATTACACACACATCTATATTTTTCGAAGCTAAATTATGTGAGCTGCTAAGTTGATTATTTTATATTTTATGTTACATTATCTGTTTGTATATTGATAGCACTTATATTTATCTAAACAAATTTTTTTTCGTTTGAACTAACTGTATTGTGCGCACAATGTCTAACTATGTGTACATAATATACATATTAATCATATTTTATTATATTATACGCGTATACATATTATATATACATATACTATGTGTATAGTTTGTAAAAAAATATATTTGAAACGGACGTTTTACTTGAAACAATCGCGACTTGAAAAATATCTATTTTTCCATTTCAAAATATATGTGAACGCACGCGTGTTCGGTGTCTTAAATAGAATCAATTAAAATGTTAATTGACTCGGTAACGGAAAATTTTACTGGTGTGTATCGCTAATTCGTAGTGATAAAGATAACACGTTTGAATTCTAATAGAGCCAATTGTCCCGAATGTAACTGAAATGCGAAATTTTCGAATCGCGAGTGTTCGATAAACATCGTACATAATAAGGCACATCGAGACGAATAAAAATCGCAATCACTCTTTGCAATAACTCTGATAGAGCTTGTTTCGTAACGAGATCAACCAAAATAGACGTGTCCAACCGATGCGCCGTGTGATCTTGCAACGCCGCGCGATGATTTACACAATCGAACCTCCAAATTCT